TTGTGAACATCACAGCAGATGTATGGGCTCAAAATGTGGTCATAAATATTTTGTACTTGTAAAAAAGATTTGTATGTGTAAAAAAGATTTGTGTGTGCGTAAAAAAGATTTGTATGTGTAAAAAGAATTTGTGTGTGCGTAAAAAAGCTTTGTATGTGTAAAAAAGATTTGTGTGTGCGTAAAAAAGATTTGTGTGTGTGTAAAAAAGATTTGTATGTGTAAAAAGAATTTGTGTGTGCGTAAAAAAGATTTGTATGTGTAAAAAAGATTTGTGTGTGCGTAAAAAAGATTTGTGTGTGTAAAAAAGATTTGTGTGTGCGTAAAAAAGATTTGTGTGTGTGTAAAAAAGATTTGTATGTGTAAAAAGAATTTGTGTGTGCGTAAAAAAGCTTTGTATGTGTAAAAAAGATTTGTGTGTGCGTAAAAAAGATTTGTGTGTGTGTAAAAAAGATTTGTATGTGTAAAAAGAATTTGTGTGTGCGTAAAAAAGATTTGTATGTGTAAAAAAGATTTGTATGTGTAAAAAAGATTTGTGTGTGCGTAAAAAAGATTTGTGTGTGCGTAAAAAAGATTTGTATGTGTAAAAAAGATTTGTATGTGTAAAAAAGATTTGTGTGTGCGTAAAAAAGATTTGTGTGTGCGTAAAAAAGATTTGTGTGTGTAAAAAAGATTTGTGTGTGCGTAAAAAAGATTTGTATGTGTAAAAAAGATTTGTATGTGTAAAAAAGATTTGTGTGTGCGTAAAAAAGATTTGTGTGTGTAAAAAAGATTTGTGTGTGCGTAAAAAAGATTTGTGTGTGCGTAAAAAAGATTTGTATGTGTAAAAAAGATTTGTGTGTGCGTAAAAAAGATTTGTATGTGTAAAAAAGATTTGTGTGTGCGTAAAAAAGATTTGTATGTGTAAAAAGAATTTGTGTGTGCGTAAAAAAGATTTGTATGTGTAAAAAAGATTTGTATGTGTAAAAAGAATTTGTGTGTGCGTAAAAAAGATTTGTATGTGTAAAAAAGATTTGTGTGTGGACTTAGAAAAAAAACCCCTGCAAGTTACAAGTACTGATTTTTGACCCTATTTTTCTTCCCTTCATCTGATTGGTGAATGTCATGTCAATCACAAATGTAACAATCCAATCAGAGAACAGATGGGTTTGGCTGTCGGAGGGGCGCTGTTTTGAACTGCAGGTCCTTGAAGGGTGATACCGTTTGAAGCTGGAGGATCGCTATATAAATATCCGATAGCAGCTAGGTCCCCTAACTTTCAGTAGCTGTTGAAAGGATAAAGTTGTGGTATATCAGTGGTTAGAAATAACATTATTACTTTAGGATTAGTTTAACACAAAGTCAGGGCTGACCCAGGACCATTGCTGTGAGTCACAGTGCGCAGCATAAAAGTCCTTTCACATCAGATGCAGGATACGCTGCTAATGCTAACTGCTAACTAAAAGCAAAGGATCCAGAATTTGTTGCTGGCTGCTGGGCTCTGTGGGTTTTTGCAGCAGCTCTACCTGTACTAGATGCACCTTCTCCTTGTCTTTTCTATCTCTGACTTTATGTCCTCTACAAGAGTTTTTTTTTTTTTTGCTAGTTCTTCAAATGTTCAATAAAAACATGTATGCTAATTCATAACGAAGAAAGCTTTGTAATGAAGACTGTCATTTCCAAAACACTGCCCGCCCCCACCCCGCGGTCCGCAGCGCTGTTGAAAAGGCTGTGGAAGTCCCTGTATTAAACACGTAGACCTGTGACACAAAAATCACCAAACTCGGACGACCACAGACTGTTTTCCTTCGTGGTGATGAAGGAAAACGCTGGGTTGGCATGTAAAAGGGCATTTATTCCCTTCAAGGACCTGCAGTTCAAAAAAAGCGCCCCTCGACAGCCAAACCCATCTGTTCTCTGATTGGATTGTTACATTTGTGATTGACATGACATTGACCAATCAGATGAAGGGAAGAAAAATAGGGTCAAAAATCCGTACTTGTAACTTGCAGGGTTTTTTTTTCTAAGTCCACACACAAATCTTTTTTACGCACACACAAATCTTTTTTACAAGTACAAAATATTTACGACCACATTTTGAGCCCATACCAGATGCCTTTGTGTGAAAGTAACTGAGAATAAAACACAGAAAAACATGAAGGAGATTTTCCTGGTCTGGCTTTTTATAGCAGATAACCTTAAAAATATTCTATAATGTTCTGCATATAAAGTTTACATTTCTTCAGTATTGAATAACAGAAAAAACAGGCTTTCTTGTCCGAGGTCATTTAAGTGAAAAAAAGAAAAAGACAGCAGCCACAGCGCTGTAAACAACGGTAGACTGGTGGGTAATAAGCGAATGAATAATACAGAAAACAGAGATTGGAGACGGGAAACTGTTCTTGAAGTACAGAGAGAGAGAGAGAGAGAGAGAGCTAGCTGTGCATGGAGTGTGATTTTAATAGTCGTGGAAGCAAAACAGCAAAATTCATGACGACATTGGTCATGAAAAGAGCTGGCTCGGTGAATTTTGGTTGGAGAGAGACAAAACCTGCAGCTCAGAATCAGCGCAAAAAGACGTAATCACAGCGCGGACCGGACGCATCAGAACCGCTAAGCTCCGACAGCGTGTCCGTCTACGGGCCGTCGGGTGAGAAAGTCGAGAAAGACAAAGTTGAATCTGATGCGTCGGGTCCGTTCTGTGTTTACGTCTTTGTGTGGAATCCGTGTACCTGCTCTCATTTGCTGTTTGGTTGTTGTTGAAATGGTTTTGTGAGCTTTAATCTGAGAATCTGGCGTTTCTGGCAAAACACAGTTATATTTAAAAGTCGATTCAGGATATAATGAATTGATATCGCTTTATTCAAGCTACTCACCTCCCACTTCCACCTGCACTTTCAACTGGACCACGGCCAATCAGAGAGGTCCCACCCCTGACTATCTCTGATTGGTTTAGTCCACGATAGGGGCAAAATGTGTGTCTGTTGTTGACCACAGGGAAGGTTGCAGTTTTTTTTTTTTTTTTCTTTTTGCTACCCGAACAGTTGGTCGCACAGGTGCAACCAAATATTTTTTTTAGTCGCACCACTGAAAAATTTGGTCGCATTTGCGACCAAATTGGTCGCACTCTAGAGCCCTGCTCTAAACTGCGGGCGTGCGCAATTGCGCACTGCTAGCACGGTCTCTGCGCACAGGAAAAAAATCTAACCTGAATTGAAATTAAAATCAATACTTTAACAATTCTGTTTTGCAGTGTTAGTCAGTAAGTGACTGGCTGCTCCAGTATGGGATTAGAACGATGCCACCGTATCCCATAGTCCAGCCAATGATGCGATTCACATTCGTATATACGCAGCTAATCAACGTCGTTGACAGGCTACGACAGCGTCCTTATGTGCCGACACCGGTGTTTTAGCTAGCGAAGCAGCGTGGCTGATGTGGAGTGAAGCCACGTTAATGACAACGTGTACAACCATTGGAGATGTGAGCAGGACAGACGGAAGAATTGACGGGAAAAGTGTTGACTTTATACCAGTTTTTAAATTGTGTTGATAGGCCACGTAAAACCAGAGTTATGATAAAAAAATATATATATATATTTACCAAACATATATGTAATGTTTGGTAAAAATGGCGTTTTATAAGGAGAACGCTCGAAAGCGCTCTCCGTATGTGAGCAAAAACAAAATCAAAAAATTTCCCAGCCTTTCCTGTTGGTGGAAAAATGTACCATGTTGACCAATCAAAAAATGAAAAGGCAACATGGCATTTAGTTGTTTAGAAAGGGGGAAGTTTTAGGAGTGACGGCGGTGTTTTGAGATGTGAGAGATTTGCGACGTTTAGCGCAAATCTTGTGTCGTTAGTGTGTAGTGTAGTCAATAGTTTTGTTGTGTGTGTCAGAACAATGAGGCGACTACTGAATGTTACAGGTGATACAGGAGTGATACATGTCCTGTTGTCAGGCCTGCAGGTATCAGGCTGTTGTTCTTCTTTATCTCATAGTGGACAGAAATAATTTTTTGGAGTGGCACAAACAATTTGTGTGGCATCAAATTTGATGCAGAACAGCTGATTGTTCTGTAAATAGTTTGAAATGTTTATTTAAAAAACCGCCTTGGCTGCATTTTTAAGTAAACAGCTGCAAAAAACTTTGTTGTTTGCATAACTCGATTCGATGCTGGCGTGACCAAAGTACACACGTCTAATGTTGCTCATTGTGGTCCAAGTGGCCGCTCAGGGAGTTTGTGTGTCACTCAGACACATGAAAAATTAGAGGGAATGTTGATTGTCACTGGCATATGCTCTCTATGTGGGTCTTGTTGCTACTATCCTCACCTCTGGCTTTTTGGACACAGAGATCCCAAAACAGAGGAATACTGTCAGACATAAACGGCTGCAGATAGAAACAGAACAGCTTGCTACCCAGTTACACCCGGTAACTTTTGTTTAAGGAGCTAAACTTTTTCTTAAAACTAACTGTGGTCTAAAAGCCATCAGCTATTAGGTAAATTAGACCACAGATATAGCAGAAGCTGTTCTTACTTTATAAAAATTGAGCAATCAGGTTACATGTCACCTGTTACATCTCTCTAGCTATGTCAGAGTTGCAGGTTTCACAGAGCAGAGAAGTTACAGCGGATGTAATAAAGGCAACTCTTTCTTAGTCCCACAAAATCTATCTGACAATGTAGCACCCATCCAGTTATGCGGAAGTGTGGATATGTTGTGCCCGAATGTTAAAATGCTCTGAAACAAACGGCGAATACAGGCTTAACTCTTTGATGCACACATATCTTCATTTAGCTTCTAGCTTTCACAATCACAGTTGGTTGTGCCCTCTTGCTTGTTGAACTCCCCGCAAGGGCCCGATTTATTCTGCATACCTTCACGTACTAGGTGAACTCCTTTCATAGATTGATTTAATCTGTGCGTGATTAATTTCTGTACTGTCTTTTAAAATTAAACTTCACCATCTTAAAGGTTGAACCTGTGAAACTTCCTTTATTTCCTCTCTCTTCTTTCAGAACATCAGCTCCTGCCGGCCTGCCAGCATCGTTGGCCCAGCGGGCACGTTACGCCACTTATTTTGATGTGGCTGTGCTGCGCTGTCTGCTGCAGCCGCACTGGACGGAGGAGGGCGTGCACTGGGCCTTGATGTACTACCTGCAGCGCCTCAGGCAGATCCTGGAGGAGAGGCCTGAACGTCCCCCAGAGCCCTTGGTTGCACCTCTGCCACGGCCACGCAGCAGCTCCATGGTGGCTGCGACACCCTCACTGGTCAACACCCACAAGACTCAGGTCACTCATCGAAACAGCTTTAATAGTCGCCTCTAAGCCATCTTTAGGATGTCCGTGTTGCTCCTGCTGGTTCGTGACCTTTGCCTTCTCTTATTTTTCGCAGGATATGAGCTTAAAATGCAATGAAGAGGGGAAATCTCTGAGCACAGAGACCTTTGCAAGGGTTTCCCTGACTAACCTTCGTCGGCAGGCTGTCCCTGACTTGTCTTCCGACCTGGGCATGAACATCTTCAAGAAGGTCAGAGACTGGCCTTTATGTTTTAAGCTAAAACAATAAATACAGATTCATGTGATTGAGAGGACCTGTTGTTCCACTTCAGTTTAAGAACCGCCGCGAGGACCGCGAGAGAAAGGGCTCCATCCCCTTCCATCACACGGGGAAGAAGCGCCAGCGTCGGATGGGGGTTCCCTTCCTGCTGCACGATGACCACCTGGACGTCTCTCCCACCCGCAGCACCTTCTCCTTCGGAAGCTTCTCTGGCCTGGGTGACGACAGGCGGGCCCTGGAACGTGGAGGCTGGCAGGCCACCATCATGGGTAATGAGATTGGATGCCACCAGTTTGAAGTCTTGCTTCCACTCCACCGAGCTTTCATGAGTCAGAGGATTTAGTCTGGATCTGGCTGTCAGCTGGTGAATTAGGTCACTTCATTGACACTGGTATTCCTTATGAGCTCTCACTGAATAGTGGAGATTAACATTCGCTCAAGGCACAAAAGCAGTTATTATTTTTATTATTTTCAAGAGTTAGTGACTTTTTAAAGGCTTATTTCCATTAAGAAAAAAAACCTACTGTCCTCTTTTACCATGCTGTTATGAACCCACTTAACCTGAGCTGCTGCTAGAAAGATTCAAGTCTGTGTCATAGTGTATAAGTATGAGATACTTCTTACAACATGTCATAATTTGAAACCCATGACTGCTGGAGGGTCAAATTGTTGCTCCTATAGTTTGCTAATTAGAGCAGAAACTCTTAAAAAATAAAAGAAATTATGAAAATGCCCGTAGCTGGCCATTGATAATTATTTTAGCACTTTATGTCTCAAATATTTATACATTGAAATACACTCATTGGACACTGTTTACCTTGCAAAAGAGGTTGCTTTAAGTTTTCATGGTACAGACTAAACAAGGTGCTGGAAATATTCATTAGAGACTTTAAGTCCACATTGACATGATAGCATCACACAATTGCTGCTGATTTCTAGGCTGGACATGCCAGAGGGGCTCTACTGGATCAAGATCTAGTGACTGTGGAGGATGGATGGAAACCATGGACATCAGATACAGCTGGGTAAAAAAAAAAAGTTTAACTTTCAGCTCAACAAACACCAAAGCCGCAGAGACAGACTCTCTGGGGTAGGCAGGACGTAAATGCACTCTGTCTCTGTGGGCTTTGATGTTTGCTGAGCTTAAAGTTAAGCTTTTCTTTTCAGCTCCATCTGATGTCCACGTTTAGTTGTGTTATTTGGTTGTGTGCTTTCGACCTAAAACGTGTCCATTTGTTGCATCTCTTTCCAGGCAAATTCACACGGCGGGGCAGCACAGACACAGCTGCAGATGCAGACAGCCTGAGTGCCAAACACTCTCATTCCCACCACTCGCTGCTCAGAGACATGCCCGACCACTCTAACAGCCACAGTGACAACACCGTCAAGGAGGGTAAGAAGATGGTTTAAATATGGGCCTGAGCAGGTATTTAAAGCAAGCCCAAAAGTTAAATTTCTAGATGTTAAAAAACCTGAAGGAGTCTTAAAGGGGACCTATTATGACTTTCCTGGTTTCCTGTCATATATACACCGGAAATGAAGGCCACAGTTTCCAAAAAAAAAAAAAAAAAGAGCTAAAAGCTGCTCTAAATCCTTGTTTTTAGACAGTTTTTTAATACTCTTGGATCTGCATGACATTATTGAGAGAGAATATGCGTAATATGGTCATCTCAGAGCAGCCAATCAGAAGAAAGTTGGCTTAAAAGAGGAGGGACTGCACCAAAGCCCAGCCTGAGGTGAAGACGGATTATTTTGAAGCATGAATCATGCAAAGCTGCTCTGTTAGAGTCTCAAATATGGTGCTAGGAATGAGCAAAGTGAGTAGACCAGTGTATTGATTTGTCTTTCCTAGGCTTAACAAATCAACAGAACATAGATGATGTCACTCACACAGTTTAAACTCTCTCTTTTGTTGGTAGATGGTTAAAAAACAATAAAAGATAGATCACAGATGTTTTAAATGAGACAAATTAAAGCCGGCATACGTCAAATCAAAATGAGTTCTTAGAGATGCTGGCAGAGTGCAAGAGGAACCACAAACATCCACGTTATTTGAAAGTAAAGCGAAATAAACAAATTATCCACTGCTGATCACATTAGTGTCCATCAGCTACAATAAAGGGAGGACAGATGCTGCCGGCTCCCTTTGAGGCTCGCTGAGCAAAGCAGAAATAGGGCAGGATTATATAACAGCAATATTGTTGTGACAATGCTAATTTACACACAAACTACACACAAAATAAGAGCACCGGCTTTTAAACTGATTCACACTCTGCCACACGCTTTCTGTTTGGGTTTAGCGAGAAAGGAGCTGAATTTGACATGAGGTGCTGCCGGGATGAAAAGTACCAAAGTATCAGGCTCATTTTGTGAGGAAGCTGTCAAAAGGGTCAAATTTGCAGAAAGGACACTTTTGTATTCAGTACATATCACATGCAGGACTGTAGAGATTCAACCGTAAATATGAGAAGAATAAATAAGTAACTGAACTCAAATACGAGAATGAAATGGTTTCTTTTCGTTGACACATGGGCTTCAACATTAACCATTGTTCCATTGTTGCTTTTGAATCGCTTGCCAGATGGCAGCAGGGAGAACAAGCTGTGTCTGGGATGGTTATTGTCTTTAAGTGTCCTCGGAGCGCTGAGGAGACACCTCACCTAATCAGTATCATTGACCCGGTGGGTGTAATCACCCACCCGAGCCTCCCAGTTTTCAACTGTTCACATCCGATCCCAGTTAATGATCTTCACAGTTTGGATGCTTTCTATTGCTTCTGTGTAAAAGGTTCCAAGACCTTGCCAGAGTGCTGTGACATCAGACACAATAACACTTAAATTAATCATTAAAGTCTCAAACTGAGCGTGCCAGGGTTTTTTTTTTTGTGTGTGTGTTGATCTCTTACAATTTGAATGCAGCAAGTGAAATGGTGCCAAGTGAAAAAAAGAAAAAAAAAAACAGGTTTCACACACATTTCTTCTCAAGTACATCTCTGTACAACCTTCTGGCTGTTGTGCCTTATGTGAAGCTATTAAAGCTAAACCCAAAAGAATAACTTTATGAGCAAAATGCAAAGGTATGTGGAAAACTAAGTACATCCATTATCCTTTTGCTGCTCTGGAACATTCAGGTTTGTGATCACAGAATGCAGCAATGCAAACTTTATAGGAGCAGACGTTCGAGCAAATACCCAAGAGCGACATCAGTTAACATGTTAAATCTTAACATTTATGACAGTACAGTTCCAAAAAGACTGATAAGTGTGGCTTGTTTGGAGAGGTTTCCAGGAGAAAGCCTCTTCTCTGTTAAAAAACATACAAACAAACAAAAAACACGGCAGCACAGTTTAGGTTTGCAAAGTTGCATCTGAACCAATCACAAGACTTCTGTAACAATGTGGTTTGGACAGACGAGACCAAAGTGGAGTTGTTTATTTGTAGTATGAAGCACCACAGTTGGAGAAAATGGAACTCAACACATCAAGACAACCACCTCATACAAACTGGCAGCACAGTGGTGGTGGGGTCATGATTTGGGCTTGTTTTATGGACCTGGTCAGCTTCCAGTCAATGAGTCTTCATGGTCTACCAAATTATCTGTCTGACTGCTGTTATTGGTTCCAACTGGGTCATGCAACAGGAGAATGATCTCAAACAAAGCAGCGATGACTGAAAAAGAAAACAACCAAAGTTCTGCAATGACCCAGTCAAAGTCCAGACCTTTGTACCTGGAACATAACATAGTTAGATAAACATCGAACTAATAATACAAGAAAGGTCTCTATCTACCCATCTGTACATCACTGGAAAAACCACAGCCATTCATCAGATCCACAAAACAGTTGAGCTAAAGCACTATGGAGCTACCTAAGTGGAACAAGAGGGCGATCTCGAGGATCTGTGAGTTAGAAAAACTATTAACCAGGACCGTGTACTCAATAAAAAATGATTTTCTGTTGTCTAAAGTTCGATCTCAGATCTCCACCATCACCATGGCGGCGTTCAACACAACAGTTGCGTCCTTTAACGTGGGCTACGCCGACTTCTTCACTGAGCACATGAAGAAACTCTGCAACCCCGTGGCTGTACCTGAAATCCCAGTGGAGCCGCTGGCATGCGCCAACCTGCCGCGCAGCCTCACTGACTCCTGTATCAACTACTCCTGTCTGGAGGAAGGCGAGAACATCGAGGGCACCAATAACTTTGTGCTGAAAAACGGCATGTTGGACCTCACAGTGAGTTATTTAATTGGACCCTGGGGGCAAATACAGCTATTAGAAGTTATGGCCCTATTTGGCTGCTCTAATAAGCAATTATGTCACCAGTGGGACTCCAAGCAGACTCGATTCTGATGCTTTCCTTTTTAAGTCATAACATCACAGACACTTTACAGTTTCCTTAATTATTTCTCTTATGTTATTGGGACCTTCTTGGTCAAACTAAATAATTCTCTGATTTTGTCACCCTTTCTTTGCCTTCCTTCTTCCAATTTAGGCTATCCTGAGAGCTCTTTACTCCATTCTCAGCCACGATATCAGTTCCAGGATCTGCGACGTGGCTCTCAACATCATCGACTGCCTGCTGCAGCTGGGCGTGGTGCCCGGGATGGGCAAGTTGTCCAAGCCAGATAACAAGGAGAACCAAGAGGGTCGTGTCAAAGATGCGGCAGCTCAGGGCCTCGGAGGAGTCGCCCAGGGAGGCGGGCCGATTGCAGGGGCTGGAGGAGGTGGAGGAGGGGGTGGTGGAGGAGGAGGGGGAGGGGGAAGTGGTGGAGGGAGCGGGCAGGGGAGCAAGGACGATGTGAAAAATAATAAGGATGACGATAAAAAGGTGTGTTTGAACAGGTTTGTTTAGAGTGAGATTGTAAAGGTGTAGGATGCCTGAATGTCTCAACTTGTGTGTTTTCTTGCTTCTCTTCACTGGGAACAGGAAGAAGCTGGTGGCCTCAGCCCCCACCGCCTGGCTTTGACAATGCTCATAAAGATAGTCAAGTCTCTGGGCTGTGCTTACGGCTGTGGTGAGGGCCATCGAGGACTATCAGGAGATCGCCTGAGGATGCAGGTTACTCTCTATTCTCTAATTCTTTGAATGTGTGCAAATAAACACAGTTTCAGATGGTGACATCGATTCATTACCTATTAATTATTTACTGAATTGCTCCTTCGGTGTAATAAAAGTTTAATAAAAATGAAACTCATTGGCTGGAGCACTGGGCTGAGTGAGAGACAGCCGCAATTTCTTTTTAATTCTAATCAATTGGTTTTTTCATTAAAACCCTTTAGAGCCGATCGGAGCGGGAACGCTCTGTTATGCGTAACTATTTTTAAATCCCAGTAGCACTGCAACCACGTAAGCTAGCGCAAAAATTTTTTTTGCATATGAAACCGGAGGAGTTGTACTTACATCTGATGCCATCAGCTTGTCCTAGGTCACGGTTTCCTTCCACATAAAGCTTTGCAAAAACTGCATAAAAAGCGCTTGCAGGAACAAAAACATAATATTCCAGAAACACGCTTTACCGATCTGATCAGCTGTTCAAAACACTTCCTACGTTGGAATAGACGTCAGCGCGAACTTTTGCATTTCCGCCATTACCTGCCCGAATCCGGAAGTGACGTCATTTTCGCGGAAATGTAGTCTTTTTTGCGATCAGGGCCTCAGGGCCTATACTGCTCTTTTTAAAAGTTATCTTTGACTTTATGACTTTCTGTGTCGTTTCTGGGATTCTTAGGACTCATATTGCACTGCTGGAAATAGTTTATTTTGATGCATATGCTGCTTTTTTGCAAATTTGCAGTATAATATTTATTTTCATTTTTCCTGCAGTGTATAAAAATTGGTGTATTTCAAAAATAAAACTATGAAGACACTCAAAATAAATTTCCTGTGGTGGGAAACTATTTTGTGCAACTTTTTTGTATTTACAGTTTTGAGGGATAAGACTCTTAAATTTCTCTAACTACAAATATATGTTAAAAAATCAAAAACGATTTTCAATTTTTTTGTAGTTTATTGCACTTTTTTGCAATTTATGTAATTACTATGCACTTAATGAATACATATTATTAAAATCTGGGCTATAATGGTTGCATTGATGTATAGCAACTTGAAATGCTCCCAAAAATGGCTCCACAGCATGTAAAAATATAATATAAGCTCTGGCGGACTTGGTTCTATGGTAGGTCTTAAAGGGTTAAAAACAAACATAGCATTAGTTCAGGCAGGCCACAAAACCCTAGCTGCAAATACTGGCTCTTCAACTAATCTCACTGCCAGTGCACATCTACAGATGACTCAGCTGATAGTGATCTAAAAATCAATTCAGAGAGGGTGGTATTTTAACTTGGTTTAGGATCTGCAAGCCACTTTGGAACCCACCTCCACTCATACAGTGGAGACAAAAAGTGCTGTTTAAAAGTATTTTTGTTTGTTTTTTGTTTGTTTGTTTGCATATTTGTCACATTTACATTTACACAAAAACTGAACTTTGTGGAAGGTTTGAGTCCCGCATATCTGGGATCAAACTAACAATGATCCAAAACACACCACCTCTGAATGGTTAGAAACAACCAAAAAAACAAAAACAAAATGAAAGTGTTGGAGAGACATAGTGAAAGTCTGGACTTTAATTTGAATGAGATGCTTTGGCATGAGCTTAAACAGGCTGTTCAGTTAGTTTTTCACACAGGGCCAGGCAGGTTTAAAGAACTTTTCCTTTAAATGAACTAAATCATAATTTAAAAATTGCATTTTGTACTTACTCGGAAGGGGGGGAGATACATTTTCTCAGAACTGCATAAACTACTGAAGATGGAAATAAAAATTTCAATGGTAAATTAAATTTAAAGGAAAGCCACTTTATTGCTAGCTGACTTATTTAAAAAAAAAAAAAAAAGTCCAGCAGCCAGAAACTTTGCTCTTGAAGTTAATTTTTAAAAATCTTTCTTTCAGGCCCAGAACTGCCTCACCAACCTGTATAAGCTGGACAAGCTTCAGTTTCGCCTGACTATGCGCGAGTACGTCAACAGAGACTCCCTCAATAACATAGTCGACTTCCTGCATGCACTGCTGGGCTTCTGCATGGAGCCCATCACTGACAGTAAGTGCTGCGGTGTGTGTTTGTGTGTGTGCGCGAGAGGGATGCAGATACGAGACAGTCACAAAGAAAAATATCATAAATGCTGGTAATAAATGCAGAAACAGGATGAACAACACTGGCTTTGATTGCGTATATTGGATTGTTGCTGAAAAATCGTGTGGTAGGGGTAAAAATATTGTTAATTAATTTGAGCATTATTTTTTTTAAATTAATCGATTAATCGTTAAGTCCACAAAATGTAGGGAAATACAAATGTTGACAAGTTTACAGCTACATCAATGCTTTGAATTAAATACAAGTCTGAATGGTAACATGCTCACAATAACAGAAAAATATATCATTTGCACTTCCTAAACGAAGTTTGTTAGCATGTTCACCGCTGAGTTCATTGTCCGCATGCTAATTTGCTAGCAACTAATCAACATTTCCATCAGCTATGTGCTAATTAACAATATTTCTTGCATGCTAGCAGGAAGATACTGAACATGCTAACATTACCCTTCTAAACATCAGCATGCTAGCAGCTTATGTGTGAGCATGTTAGCATCCTGGGTGGTGATTACTACCAAATTAAACCAAAGTATTGGATAAATTAAGAATTTTAACTGAACATAAGCTTAAAGTTATCGAAATAGAGTGCTGCAGGAATGAGTCTTACCACCACACAATGAGTTAGCATTTTACACTTATGGTTTCGTCATCTGCCTGAAAGATACCTGTTTATGGTTAACATAGAAGCTTTACATAAGTAGTAATGGTCTGGTCTTTAGCAGTTCTTCTAATTAGGTAAATACAATCTGAGATGAACACAAGACAAATTACAGTATGTCATTATTTTTGGAAAACTAAAAACACCCAAACATTCAGTAGCTTGTTAAAATAAATTGTAGAATAAACACACAATAATGTAAAGTAATTGTTTTAAGGATGACCCCACCAGTCTTTCTTATCACTATGGAGGAATTTTGGTCGACTCTTCTTTTCAACGTAGCTTCAGTTAATTGAGGTTTGCAGGCATTTATTTGTGCACACCTCACTTCAGGTCCCACCACATGTCATGTTGTAGAGTTGCTGCTGTGCTTGGGATCATTGTCCTATTGCATGACCTAGTTTAATCCAGACTTTCAGACAGATGGCCCCACATTTTACTCTAGAATACTTTGGTATACAGAGGAGTTCATGGACAATTCAATAAGTGCAATGTGTCCAGGTCCCGTGGCTGTAAAACAAGCCCAAACATCACCCCTCCATTAATGTGCTACAGTATAAGGTGTTTGTGCTGATATGCTGTGTTTGGTTTTGTGCATTATGGTTAAACATCTCCACTTTGGTCTCATCTGTCCCAAGGACATTTTTTCAGAAGTGTTGTGGTTTTTTTCCAGTGCAACTCTGCAAACCTAAACTGTGCTGCCATGTTCTTTTTAGGGAGAAGAAGGCAGCCCTTACAAACAAGCCATACTTATTCAGTCTTTTTATAATTGTACTGTCATGAACTTTGACATTTAACATGCTAACTGAGGCCTGTAGAATCTGAGTTGTAGCTCTTCAGTTTTTGCTTGGACAACCTTTCATGGGAAGATTGGGGCATTGTGTTAAAACACACCTGGATGCTCCAGAGCAGCAAACTGAGACAACTTCTCCTCTTATAGAGATGCTGATGATCAATTATTCAAGTGCATCTGATTAGCAGTACCTGGCTGTTACCCTGTTAATTCCTATGGTAGCAGTAAGGGTATAGTTAGTTTTCCACAGGACTATAAATAAGTGTGTCATAGGCTAGGTATTTGCCAACAAGCTAAAGAAACAAGAATATAGGGGAGATTTTGTAAAGTCATGCAACATTAGCATTAATCCTCACTCCCTTATTAGTCATTCAGCCCCTTCCTAAGCCTGATTCTGTTGAAGGGCTTTTCCTGTTAAAAGGGATTTCTTTCTTCCCGCTGTTGCCAAGTCCTGCAAACAGAGGGCTGTTTGATTATTTGGGTTTTCTCTAATATAATATGATTTTTACCCTAAATGTGCTTTGAGATGACTGTAGTTGTAAACCAGTGAAACCAAAATCAAAAACCACTAAAATTTTATGGAGCTTTATCCTTTTGAATGAAATCATTAAGTATCATACACCTATATTTCCCACAGAGCTTTTTTTCGAAAGTAATTCAAAAAGTTAATGGAAGAATCCCATTGGCCTCTTGTCAACAGGCTAATATGGAAATGTGTCATTCCTGCAGCAAAATTACAGTGTGAGGGAATTACAGTACTCAAGACTCAAGATATTCATCTTAACAGTATATGCACAAGCGAATTTGTTTATTTATTTTTTAAATCAAAGGCTTAAACGATTAATCGATTTCCAAGTTAACTGTTCGGTAAATGTTTCAACCTAATGGCGCAGATATTTATGCTCTAGCAAAGTCTGTCAGGTTTATTTTACTCAGATCTGTCCCATTAAAAGGTCTAGTGTGGACGCTACAGCACAGGCCAATATAAATGAAATAATATCACATAAAGAGGTAAATACTTAAAGCTCTAGTGTGGTCGACAAAGCTGAATTGTCCTACCACTGTCTCACCCCGCACTTCGACTTTGCATTTCAGCGCTATCTCTGTTTATATATGTGTTTTCCCCCTTCCTCCTTCCACTTGTCTCCGCTCGTCCGTGTCGCTTTCCTTCGTTGTCCTCCTCCTCCTCCTGCTTCCATCCTCCTCCTTTTTCTTCATCCACTTCAATGAGCTGAATCCTACCTTCCTTACACGCTCATCCATTCTGTACACTTGCCAATCCAGAGCTTTGCCCATTACATTCCTGCTCAATCAGTGGCTTTTATCGATGAGCATTAGGACACATCCTACATGCCAATTCAGTTTTGCACTGGAATTTGAAGATTTTTCTACAAGAGACAATTGGCAAGTTACTGAACCGATGAGTGTTTTTTAATTTTGAAAGTGAACAGGGCACCTTGTTTAGTTTTCAGTGTGTGTGTGGGTGTGTGTTATTTTTTAAGTGTGTGTGTTTGCATCTTGGGGGTTCACCTCCTCGTGGAGGTGGGGTGCCACTTCCTTTCTGACACCGCCTTACATGTCTGTGCTGGCCTGATGTCAATCAACTTTGTGCCCCGCCTCTTTTCTCTTGCAGAGTACGGCAGTGCAGGTGAGAGGTCCAGGAGGGCGAAAAAAAGAAACATCGGTAGATACACATGATCAATAATCAATAACAGTTGATAATATAAGCAATAAGATGACTACACTGACCTGATCAGACCCTTCCCTAGACACCGCTTTCATTGCTGCACCCCTCACTCTGTCCGAAAAGTGACAAACTCGCCTGCAACTCTAAAAGTTCTGGTTTAATCTGGCTGATATATTAATCTAACTGGACCAAGAGACTAAACCCTCTACTGTATGTTTTTAAAGCAGGCCTTAGTCACTTGCATGTATTCCTTACTCCCTACTCAGAATCCTTTTCAGTTTGGCTTCTCCCCCATATGCTTTATTAACCCCCTTTTCCTTTGCCCCCTCTCCTTCCTTCCTTGTTGTACGGGCTCACTGTTGTATGCTCAGTGCTGTCAGCAATGACTAAACCACCTGCTGTGTCATCCATGGTCTCTCCTGCCTCCCTGCTGCTTCCAGACAAGGCGGGCTTCGGAAACAACTTCGCCACAGGAGACAACAAATCTGTAGCCCAGAATATGGAGGCCGTGGTGGTGGGCTGCATGTTCAAGTCCCTCATCACCCGCTGCGCCTCAACCACACATGAGCTGCACAGCCCCGAGAACCTGGTGAGTGGGGCGTGAAATCGTCTACCTGGTTGCCTTCCAGCTGTTTTGGTGCTCCGCATTAGATTCATTAGTTAAATTAATGCTTTATTATAGATAAAGACGCTTGATCTCATTCGTTGTATCAGACATGCTATCTAAGCTGCTCTCTGGTCTGCTAGAACATGTATTGTAGATGTAGGTCTGTGCAAAAATCAAGAGCCACCCCTCATTTCTTTATATTTTACTTCCAAGAAAAGTCTTTCCAACTTTTTCTTTAGACATTGGCTTCTTTTTCCAGACCATTCTCCTTCCCAACGCATAACATACTGACGATTTGTCACATCCTGAGGCGTCCCATAGGAACGCAAGAGGTAACCTTCCGCGTCCCTATGATACGCGCCGGATTGTGGATGAAATCCAATAGACGCTCCCAGCAGTAATACATGTTCCAGCTGTGTATTCCAGCTCTAACCCTAACCTTAATCCTAACCATAAACATAACCTTATCCCTAACTTTAACCACAATCTTAATCATATTAGATTGTTTTTTCCAAAGCAATTAATGATGAGAAAGTAAAATAAATGTACATGCGTAGATTCCTTCCAAACGGTTCTCATGTTTCCGAACGCATAACATACTGAAGATTTGTCACATGGCGACGTATGTTACATTTTGGGATGAGAACGTGTTGTCTTTTTCACTCATTTTCAGTCCAGTTCTTGACAGAAAACTTAGCAAAGAACCAATATTAAATTATATCTGTAGGCACTTTTTTACTAGCACCCTCTCACAAAAATGCATCATTTGTTCCCATTGCTTTAGTAGAACCTATGAAAAATGCAAAAGAGATCACAGTTCAACAGGCATAAAATACTATTGTATGCCTGTAACAGTATTTGTGTACCAACAAAGTGATTTACAAAGAGCTACCAGCTGAAAACTTCTCAGGATGGTGTGTAATGTTTCCTTACAAAATTTGAGGAAACTGGACAAACGGAGGACAAAAGAAGAAATATCAGGCCTACAAAACTATCTACAGCAGTTAAACAGGATCTGAAGGTCACCTGACACAGTGCCGGAGAGATGCACCTGGACCTTCAGCTAATCAGCTACTGTTCACTGAAGCCTCATGAGAAATGGAGATTCTGTTAAGGTTTGAGCTGCATTTCAGTCAGTGGTGTTGGAGAACTTGTCAAAATTGATGAATTATGAACACAGAAAAGTACCACCAGATTTTGATCAGATTACCTTGACAGAGAACAGAACAAAAGGCAGAAATATCCAAAGAAGAGCTTTGAAAGTCCTTCAAGAAGCCTGGAGAACTATTCCTGAAGACGACTTAAAGAAATGACAAGAAAGAGAGTTCAGACTGTGCTGAGAATAAAGATGGTCACACCAAATATTGACTTTCAAGCTTATTAGAATTGTAAAAACTCAGTTTTTGCCTTATGTTTTGTATTTCCATGTATGTTTGCACATGTTTTACTTTTCTTTTTTAGAAAATTTTGAAGGGAGCTCGCACCAGACTATATTAAACATGCAGTTTAGTTTTTCCGCACCATTTTCTGTCTTTTGTACAGAGGTTTTATGCATCAGCAGAGTTTAAAAACACAGAGTTTCTGTGTGACAGTTTTTTCCCCTTTTTATGTCTGACACGATATCTGCTGTTCCCCTTAAGAGTGTTTCATAATAGCTATATATCTTCTTTCAGGCCAAGGTCAAGTCAAGATGAGCTGATTTGTTTAGCATCCATCAGCTACACAGGCACTTCAAACTGAGTCGTATACGGAAAAGAATCAGATAGCACAAGTATGATGGTTCAAAAAAGCAAAAATCTAAATACAAAAAAAGATGATAAGCACAATCTGACAAACTGAAAGAGCAAGAGACTATATATGTAGAGGGAAATGACTGGACCACAAATCACAGCTGAAACTAATTGGGGTTGATTAGGGCCGGCAGTCAGAAAGGGTGGCAAAGAGAAAGCTTCTGTCTCTTTTTGTCTCCTAACTGATGAACATAATAAAGCAGGAAGTGACTAACATGATCACAGCACACTAATCTGTAGGCTAGAGCTGAAATGTTTTGAATTAAAGTAATGTTAGCGTGCAAATTATAGCTATAAACTACTTTTTTCATATAATTCATGTAATTTTCAGATGCTCTTTAGTAAAACTGCATATGGAGTGCAATTCTTTTTAAACCTAATGTCTAATTAAACAATATACAGTTGTCTTAAAAGTGAAATTGCAGATAAAGTGACATTTATGACAGCTTAGATTGTGTTTAACTTAGTTAAAATCAGGTCCACAGTAAGTGTCTTAAGGAATATACGTAAGTTGCTTAAATTTGTGCTGAATTCAACTAAAAACAATATTTCTTTCACACTTTTATATCCATATTAAGGTCTAAAAATCACCACAATACTCAGAATCTGTTATCAAATATCCAATGCACCCTTGATAAGTGTATTTGGATGCGTCTGAAAGCATTGAAGTACCTCGGCCTCTCTGCGGTGCTTGCAGAGCCTTTAGGCTGGCGTGAGTGGTGTACGTTGGCGGAGGATGACACACTTTTCGAGGCAGGCTTTGTTATGGCACGAAATCAGAGGCCACCCACTCACAAGCTGGAGCTGGTGGCTTGACAAAAACACAAGCCTGCTCCCGCACATTTGCTCAAAATTACATACTGTTCACACTGGCTGCTGATTCTCTCTTTTCTCTTTCACACATTGTTTTGCTCTCACTTTGTTTGTCTCACTCTGTCCTTTCCCAGGGTCTGTACTGTGACATCCGCCAGCTGGTCCAGTTCATTAAAGAGGCCCACGGAAACGTGTTCCGCAGGGTGGCACTGAGCGCGCTCCTGGACAGCGCGGAGAAGGTCACCGCCACCAAGAAACCTGATGAGAAGGAGGAGACCAAACAGCCCGGTCCCAGGAGGTACACTCAATGGCTAGAAACGGTCTTAATGTGACTTCACGGTGAAAAATAAATGTCTTGCTGCAGTCATTACTGTCAAATTTAAAGCCCATCACCTTGTAAAGGTAACAGAGCTCTGCTTCTCATCACTGCTTGACTTTTTTGTTTTTTGTCCTGTCTGCATCTGTTTGTTTTTTTGCTTGAGTGACTGATTTGATGTTCTTATTTCCAAAATAATGTGGCTGTTAGCGCTCTGGGTAGCCCTGCCAGGAGGCAGCTCAGCTGTGTTTGCTGCTTTATCTGACAGCCGCCACCGCATGCCATGGCACTGAAGAGAATAAACTACCTCTGACTTATTTTATTTCCACGTTTGAGGCTACAAAGTCACATGACTGCTGGCTGTGAAGCGGTGCCCATATAGAAAGCATAGACTTACAGTTGCAGAGACAGCTGACTCTTTGTATCTGTACCACTCCGTTTCTACTTAGACTCATGGACTATATATAAAAGATGGACACAGCCACCACAATCGTACTGATTTTTGTTTTGAAGCTTCACTGTTGCCGTCTTTGTTTTTTGTTTGTTTTTTAAACTGGACCTCAAAACCAAGGGCTGGATCTCGTTTACAAACCCAGACACATATGGTGTCTTCTTGTATCATCTATTTCACTCTAATTGTGACCCCGTTTATTAAATGACCATCGTAATGATACAGTGGTCCCTCGTTTATCGAGGGAGTTACATTCTAAAAATAACCTGCGATAGGTGAAATACGCAAAATAGCCAACTTTATTTTTTACAATTCTTATAGATGTTTCAAGGCTGTAAAACCCCTCACTACATACTTTATACGCTTTTCTCAGAAAGGCACGAACATTTTCACACTTTTCTCTCTTGTTTAAACACTCTCGAAGTTCAAACCTTCGTAGAAAAATAAGTCCAGTATTATGGAATGAAACCAAGGCACCCGCGGTTGCCTTTGAAGGTGCAAAACGTTTCATCGACATTGTTGTCTTTGTTGGGGAGAAAACGTACAAACATACAGTACAGCACTTCAGAGTCACACTGCTAACAATCGAAGATTTGTGTAAATTTGATAAGCTGAACGCATTCTGTACTCTGATTGGTCTACAGCCAATCAGGACGCAGAACACAATGCGCTGTTAAAAAAAAAAATCCACAAAACAGCGAGGCCACAAAAGGTGAACCACGTTATAGTGAGGGCCCACTGTACACAATAAACTTCAAGCTAGTAAATGAGACCTCATCATAAACTCATCAGAAAGGTAGTTACTGAGGTCTTGGATCAAGAGAGAAGGAGGGTTATTTTCTCATAGACTTGTGTCCAATCTGACTTCTTTTTGATCCCCTGCTGGCCATTAGAAAGAATGCATTTTTGAGGCTTGTCTGTCTTTTATATATAAGGTACGGTTAGAAGGCACTGGTTGGAAGAAGTTTAAGTAAAATACACTGCTAAAAAAATTAAAGGAACACCTTGAAAACTCATCAGATCTAAATAGGGAAAAATTATTCTGGATGTTTATATTGATGTGGACTGGTTGGGTAATGTGTTAGAAACTTAAGGAGGCTACATCATTTGATGTAAATGAAAATTAAACCTAGAAATTATACAGCAAGCTAATCTGTTTTACCGAAACCTTATAGCCTAAACACAAATGGTATCAATTCTTTCATTCTCCAGGAACTGCCTTTATACTCTTCCCACATGAGGCCGGGTATTGTTGAGCACTAGGAGGGACTCAGAACCTACTGCACCACCGTAGGATCTGACAGTTGGTCCATTTACTTCATCCTGACACCTAATGGCAGTCAGGGTGTCACTGCCTAGAGCAGGGGTGTCGAACTCCAGGCCTCGAGGGCCGGTGTCCTGCAGGTTTTAGATGTGTCTTTGATCCAACACAGCTGATTTAAATGGCTAAATTACCTCCTCAACATGTCTTGAAGTTCTCCAGAGGCCTGGTAATGAACTAATCATTTGACTAGTTGACCAAGGGTGATATCTAAAACCTGCAAGACACCGGCCCTCGAGGCCTGGAGTTTGACACCCCTGGCCTAGAGAGATCTGTGTATGGGTATGCCTCCCCAGACCATCACTGACCCAGAAACAAACTGGTTATGCTGAACGATGTTACAGGCAGCATAACAACCCTTTCACATCTGTCACATGAGTTCAATCATCTCATCTGTGAAAATCACAGGGTGACAGTGGTGGACCTGCCAATTCTAGTATTCTATGGCAAATGCCAATCGGGCTCCACTGTGCCAGGCAATGAGTATAGGGCCAGTAGAGGATGTTAGGCCTTCAGGCCACCCTCATGAAGTCTTCTGATTGTTTGGTCAGAAACATTCACATCAGTGGCCTGCTGGTGATCATTTTGAAGGGCTATGGCAGGAGCAGTTACTGAGTTAAGGGCCTTCTATGGCCCTGTTCAGCTCTCCTAGAGTAACTGCCTGTCTGCTGGAATCTCCTCCATGCTCTTAAACTCTGCTGGATACACAGCAAACCTTCAGCCAATGGCACATATTGATGTGGTCCCCTGACGGATTTGGACTACCTGTGCAACATGTATAGGTTCCAGGTCTGGTCATTTAGTTTGACACTAAATGAGTAGTGACACCGTGCTACTAAATTGACCAGATCCTACAAGTTTGACCGACTGGATGCTATACTCTGAATAAAATGTGTTCCTTTAATTTTTTAACAGTTCATATGAAATAAAATATGTAAAAGACATCAGTTCAGTGGAGATTAAAGTAGTGCGATGCCTAAATTACAGGTCAGAATGGAGCCTTGAATCAGGTGGCCTGAGCGCTATGTCTGTGTGTTGGGGTGTGTGTGTGCGCGCAGGTCAGAGGCGGGTGTGTCCGGGGAGAAGGGTCAGGTGTCCAGTACTGCAGACGAGTGTCGCAGCTACATCTCCAGTAGACCCCCCCAGACACCCGAACAGTGAGTGTCCGCCTCACCTCTCCATAAAGCACCATCTCCGTCGAGCTCAGCTGCCATTTCTCTGCTCAAAGTAGAAAAAGCTCTTCCTGTTGCTCCTTCTTAACCCTCTGATAAACATTCAGTTTATACCAAAACATCCTGTAAAATAAAAAAGAAGTAAAAAGTGTTTTGTGGGAAATGTTTTATCCTTGTGCTTACCTTTCCTCTCCTCCTCTCTCTGCTTCTAGTGAAGAACAGATCCCGGGTGCTCTGCTGGGCAGGAAGGATTTTTGGAGGAAGATGTTCAAGTCGCAGAGCGCCGCCAGTGACACCAGCAGCCAGTCGGAACAAGACACCTCAGAGTGCACCACCGCACACTCTGGCACCACCACCGACCGCCGCTCACGATCCAGATCCCGTCGCATTTCGCTTCGCAAGAAGTTGAAGCTGCCTATCGGTAAGAGCAGCCTCTTCTTACCCAAGGAAGTCCCTGGGTAGGTTCAAAATAAAAGTCTTAAAACTACAGTGAGCTTTTGCCTCCTAGTAAGTGACGAGAATGCACTAGAAAATATGCACTAGCTCGAAAATAGGATTTCTCTAAAAGATTAGGCAGCCTAAGGCTATGTGTGCTTATGGAGACTTACAAATCATCCTTTTATTGAGCAGCGGTATACATTTCAACAACCATATCTCATTGCATTTGCTCTTACTTTGAAATCCCCTCTAACATAATGTGTTTTATGTGTTCAACATTGTGGCACTGCCTGCCCCGAGGCCAAGTCACTTCATCTCTTTGGTCTGTTTTGTGCTCCTTTTTGTGCCATAGCATGCCGCAGGACTGTTCGCCTACCGCTCACTCTCTCTGTCCTACGTATGTCGATGTGGAACCATCTTCATACTGTATCTGTACCATGTCTGTGTTGTGTTGATCATCCCAACCCCCTAGCATGTTTGCAGACCTGTGGAAAAAAAACTGATTTAAATGAAGAGAGTACATGCTTATTTAGCACGCGTTGCTCTAGGGAAGCAAATAAGCTTCACCCTTAAATGAAGAAAATTAAAACCTAGGGATCATGTGTAGGGTAGGGACGGCTTTGGAAAACGTGAGGGATGGCGTAGATTTTGGACTTTTAACTGTATTGTCATAAGTTTTACAGCTTTATTTTTACTGATAATAACTTCATTCATGCTATACCAAAGTAACTAACTTGTAGATTAAAAAAATAAATGATGGAAAGTTCCTGTTTTTTTTTTACTATTTGCTTTAGAAATCTCTTTTTTTATTTTTATATTTTTAACAATGAAACAAAAAAGAAATTCTGTTTAATTACAGCACAGTCTGAACAATGAGCTGTAATTTCACACTGTTAGGTGTGGGCTGTGTGCGGACAGGGATAGGACCCAAGGTGCAGACTCCAGAGACAAACGTAAATTGAAATAGCTTTAATGCTGAACTCAAACATAACATAACTGGAAAAAATCTAAATAAACTTAAACCGGCAGATTGACAAAACACACAGCAAAATAAACGGTAGATCACGACACGGACACAGAGAAACACAGGGCTTAAATACAAAGAGGGAGCAATCAGGGACTGAGTAACAGGAGGGAAACACAGCTGGGGCAAATCAGAACTGACGAGACAAAAGGAAGCGTAAACTGAACACACTGAGATAAGACAGAGACCTTCAAAGTAAAACAGGAAACACATAACACAGACTCACATGCAGGCACCACAGAGGGAACAGAGACGTGGGACCAGGGCAGACACAAACACTGACTGAACACGGGGATATAGGAACTAAGGATACACAGAGACGCGAACTAGACAAGGGGATACAGGTGATAGGGGAGACAGAGCAACTAAAGAAGACAGAGACATAAACCATAAGACAGAACTCAAAGAAACCAAAGACTAGAAAGTATAAATAATATAATAAACTCAAAAACCCTGGGTCAACGACCCAGGCATCCTAACACACACTTTATTTCTTACAATTTAAACCCACAAAGTCATGCTGTCAATTTTCTTTGATTTACTACAACAGTATTTGTTTATCACGTAGAAAAACTGAGACATTGAAATTGCACTTCTTTTTCTTATCTTAAGATATAAATATATAAAAATATGTATATATATTAAATGTGCAATTAAACTTATTTACACAGGTAGAAATGAGATGTTCACTGGTCTCCCCTACTTAAGATCAAGCAGGCTGTTTCTAGCTTAAATTAACCAAAACAATATACCAACACAACTCAAGCTACACCTACCAGAGATAGGACAGAGCATAACAATTTTTTTCATACTGTTTGAGGTCTGTAATATTTGAAATTCATTCTTATATAACAATATGTGAGCATGAAAAAAAGGTTAAATCAACGCATCATTATAGTTTGAGATGTTTGAGATAATTTGAGCTTTCGGACATGGTGTGTTATCCTGCTAGAAGATGCCATCAGAAGATGGGTACACTGTGTTCAACACTAACCCTAACACTTTGGTGTTTAAATGTTGCTCAGTTGGTACAAAGGAGGCCAAGGTGTGCAAATAAAATTCCCCCCAGATGCTTACACCACTGTCATCAGTCTGAACCATTCATACAAGGCATTATTTCATGCTGTTTACACCAAATTCTGACCCAGCTGTCCAAATGTTGCAGCAGAAATTGTGACTCACCAGACCAAGAATCATTTTTCCAATTTTCTATTGTCCAATTTTGTTGAGCCAGTAAATGGTAGCTTCAGTTTCCTGTTCTCAGCTGGCAGGAGTGGCACCAGGTGTGGTCTTCTGCTACAGTTGAGATGCTCATCTGCATACAGTAGTTGTAACAAGTTTTTTCAGTTAAGTTGCTGTTGCCTTCCTATCAGCTAGAAGCAGTCTGGTCACATTCACCTCTGACCTCTGAATCAATAAGACGATTTCACCCAATGCACTGCTGAGACCATTCCAGACCATTCTCTGTAAATCCCAGCAGATTGGCTGTTTCTGAAAACCTCAGAAGAGCCCATCTGACACCAACAACCATGCCACATTTGAAGTTACATAAATGGTAAATCCACTAAATTGCTGAAATGTGATTGGCTGATTAAATAAAAATATAAAACACAACCAGACCCTAACTTTAGCTTAGCAGAGAAAATTGGTTTAGTTTTAAGCTTTTATTTGCAAATTTCCTCCCTAGTGCAGTATTGGCTATTTATAAGTGTTTGTAGGTTTTCATTTAGTTATGGGTAGCGTAGTAATTATACTTCCCTTCTATTTATTATGAAAATTGTCTATATACCATATTCACATGGCACCTCCTTCTTTGAACATATCATAAAAGTGCATTTGCAAACACAGCTAAAAGCAAGCAGGAAGGTCAGTTTAGTTTCAGTGTCCTTCTTCTGTAACTTCTTTGAATGACTCTGTGAATCTTTGTGAATCTCTGTGAATCTTTATACACCCTGAATGTGTGTGTCTGTGCAGTAACATTGAGTGAATGCCCTTGCATCGTTCCCTGTTCTACCCATTGGTGTGCATGCATACATAATCCCAGTGTAGTTACCCGATTTATAGATTTACCTCTTTATTACCATACATGATGATGTTCATGTCAGTGTTTTTTTTATTTGTGTGTTTTCAGGGAACTGGTTGAAGCGCTCCTCTCTCTCTGGACTGACTGACGGCGTCGAGGACTTGCTGGATATCAGCTCGGTGGATCGACTCTCCTTCATACGTCAGAGTTCAAAGGTCAGCTCGCCGCCACTGAAAGCCACCATAGTGTGTCGCAGCTTTTCTAATCAGCCGTCCTTTTGAGCAAACAGAGGTTTGATTTGGTCTACGTTGCCAGCTGATATGCGCGGATGTGTTTATGTGTGTTTAGGTGAAGTTCACTAGTGCAGTGAAGCTATCTGAAGGTGGCGCTGTAGGGCCGGAGTACGGCAGGGACGAGGAGGAGAATTTCTTCAAGCGGCTCGGTAAATGGAGGTCTGGCAGGAGGAATCCATCCAAGCTTCACCACACAGAAGAGAAAGATGGTAGACCCCCCCCACCCTGGGGTGCCCCCCTCGCCCACCCCATGCCCCCATCGTTCTTTGTCTGTTCCTCTCTTCTTCTGTCCTCGCCTCTGTTTGTCGCTGGTGGTGTCGTGTTTTGTTTGGCCTCGCAAGTCGTGGTCTTTTGACAGTGCTGCCGTCCACCATTCTCCATGTCAGCCTCGCCAGATAGCTGCCTGCTACGCTCTTTTAATCCAGATGGGTGAATTTTCAACCCATCAGTGTCAATTCAAAGTGATCATTTTCTGGAAGGCCTGCCAAAAAACCTCCCCAAAACTAAAGCTAATATAAAACAACAGGGGAAGGGGAAATGGACTCGATGTTTTATTTTCTCACTATTTTCTCACTGATAAACTTGGCGACGTTTACCGAGGTCAGAGGCAGACAGCTGCTTCTATAGGACACTTAATCTTTCTGTAGCTGTAAGGATCGCCCCCTTAAAAGAATGCAGGCTTATAGAGTTTTCACACCGGCTCTGCTTTTCACACCCTGAAGGTACTTGTGTCTCTCTTTTGTACTGTTGATGAGTCAAAGGCATATGCCAAAAAGATCAGCCAAAAGTTCTCTAGAGTTACATGATATGAATCACTGGCCTCATTTCCCCCTATACTACTGACTACAGTTCAGGATGCCTTTGCTGCCTCTACTTTTTCATGCTAGTGAATTAACACTTTTTGATTGCTTGAACAGCCCTTTGAAAGTCATTTTTGTAATTGCTATAAACAAAAAACATCAGACTATCCAACAGCTAAGAGATTTCTTTGTTCCTTTACAGCATGGAAAAATTACCTTAAACACAACTAATATGTAGCTTTATGCAAACGTCTTGAGTCATCCTTTATTTCTTTTATATTTTGCTTCCAAGTAGCCAGACTATTAAAGCAATAGGTCTCCAGGGTCTCTGAAGGTTTTTCAAATTGTTTCTTTGGACATTGGCTGCTTTTCGCTCATTTTCAGTCCAGTCCTTATACCTGATCATTTTCACAGGTCATGTTTTTGTTTGTTAAGACACTTAACACTGACCACACAGATGTGATGAATCATTCAAGTATAAAAAAGAAACCTAGCTCAAGGGATAAACCAGTGTTGTGTCTACATATAATAGACAATTTAGCAAAGAACCAATTTTAAATTGTATCTTTAGTCACTTTGTTACTAACAGCCTGTCCCAAAATATGTAATTTGTCCCATGTACAAACGGAAACAAGTTGAATCTTTGAAAATGCCAGAGCAAAGTTTGTCAGGCTTAAAATAGTATTTTTGTACCAACAAGGTGATTCCCAAAGAGCTATTAGCTGAAAACATTACATATCTCAGCATGGTGTGCAGTGTGTCCTTAAAAAAATTGAGGAAACTGGACAAATGGATGAAAAATCTACAGCAGATAAATATATAACTAAAAACTAAGAAAAAATTCATTAAAAACCTGACAAAAGACAATTTTTAAGCATGACAATGATTCCAAGCACGCTACCAATGCAGCAACACTAATACCTGAATAGAAAAACACACAGTGAAACGTCTTGGATCATGGTCCAGAACCCGGACCGACCAACATCCAGAGAAGAGCTCTGAATGTCCTTCCTTTAAAAGTTCCAATAAATCACTTCATTTATTTCCCATTTTCCTAGCAAGACATAAAGAAACGAGGGATGACTCAAGACTTTTTTCACAATACTCTAACACATTGTAAAAAATGGTATCTCAGTAAAATAAAATACAATATAGCTAGCAACTAGCTTAAAATAAATATTATAATTACATTCATTTGGATATATGTCTACTCATGACATTGAGTATTTCTGTAGATTTCTAAACAATGTCTGAGCAAAAGCTGTGAAAAGTTGTGTCTGTGATTTGCCACAAAAACCCTAAAGCCAGACATTTATATGTGCTGAAACCAAACTTCTTACTTCCAAAGACAGTTTTAGCTCTATTATAATAATAAGAAATTTAAAGCATTTCATTTATCCCGATAGGTCTACATTCCCTTCTCTCCAACTGTGCACGTCCTGTTCTGTCCAGCATTGGTTCCTCTCCTCTGCGTTTTCACCCAAAGGTGAAAAAAGAGGACGGGCGGTGTCTCACAACAACTCATGTCTATGAAACCATCTTTCTGCTGTGGAGCGTGTCTCTGTGCTACGTCAAGCATGACGCTGTCAGTGCTCTCTCCGTCTCTTCTGTGGTGATGTCTGGTGGTATTTCCAGTGCTGGAGTGTTAGTGATTAAACACAATGGGCCACATACAGCTTTCCTCTGTGCGGCTGTGGTTACGCCTGACATTTCAATGAGATTTGTAGGTCCTTTTAGAAAGATGCCGGAGAAAAGTGCCTGAAAATATCTTTGGCCCTTAAATTCATCTTGTTTTTTGTGACTATTCTTATACGATTGAAAATTCAGGTGTAACCCCTGCCGATGGCTGTGTGTCATCTCTCACTCAGCTTCATCTGTCAGCTCAGTGCTATTTGTTAAATGTCCTGGATGGTGATGTTGCTTCATGCAATTTCTATGTCTAACCTTTATTGTGCAAACAAGCGAGTCTATAACGAGAACTCTTCTTCAAACGGCTTTTGTTATACCTCTTCCCTTGTGGTCCTCACGGTGTCCTTCAGGACCTCACGGTTTCCAGGAGCGTCTCGCAGCCAGCCAGGAGGCCATGAAGAACAAGAATGTAGTGAATCTGGGCGCCATCCGACAGGGTATGAAACGCTTCCAGTTTCTCCTGAACTGCTGCGAGCCAGGAACCATACCAGATGCCTCCATCCTCGCCGCTGCTCTGGACCTCGTGCGTTTCACTTTGGAGAAAATAATGAAAGAGTAAAGATGTCGCTGTTAGCTTTCAAAGGCTATCACCTATTTATTTCTCTGTTCTTCTAGGAAGCCCCAGTTGTGGCCAGGGCCTCCCTTTTCTTGGAATGTGCCAGATTTGTCCACCGGTGTAATCGTGGCAACTGGCCCGAATGGATGAAGGGCCACCACGTAAACATCACCAAGAGAGGGCTGTCCAGGGGCCGATCGCCTATTGTGGGCAATAAAAGAAACCAGAAGCTCCAGTGGAACGCTGCCAAGCATTTCTGCCAGTGGGGAGACGTGAGTTAAATGTGTCGAAGATTGTTTATGGTTACAGTTTATAAAAAGGCTTCATTAACTGTAAACGTGTTAAATCTGCTCAGGCGATTGGCACGAGGCTCAGCGAACTCTGCCACTCGGACAGTGAGAGCCCCGCCAACATCCTGGGTTATATTTACGATGAAGAGACCAAACGCAGGATGAGGAAAGAAGACGAGGAAGAAGACTATTTAGATGACAGTGAGTCAAAACAGTGTCTGTTACTTGTTTTTCTTCTATTTACAGGTTTCCACTCGGCCAGATCGTCTCTATCGTACTGTGCAGATATAACACAGATGTAGCGTCTCATGAGACGTGGTGACCCAAAAAGGCCTTGCTGCTGTTTTAGCTTGTCTGAGTGGTGTCAGCTACTGCATGGCAGAAATCACATTGCTGAGGCCTGCAAACCAATGCAGTCCTCCAAATAAGAAGCACATAAAAACTCAAACCATTACTCTCATTCATTTGTTTTCTCATGACTTGAATTCTACATTTTCATCCGTTTCCCTATGTAAGGGATTGGACAATAGGATGTTAAATAAATTAGGTTTTTTTAATGATAACTTGTATCATCATTAAAAATATTTACCTCATAATGGTCCATTTGCAGCTTTAGATCATCAGGTGCACCTTATTGTGCATTTGTGTGGTGTTGAATTAATCAGAAGAAGACGATTTCGCATGAACGTCCACTCAAATTGGAAAATAAAAAGTCTGCACTTGCCAAGCTGTTGATGTCACACTTAAAAACATGCTGCATGAAAGTAATAAGATCACAGTATTGTGCGTTTTATTGTGTGTACTTTGAAAAAAAAAATCTTAAATTAAAATTTAGTTTCTACAACTTTTAGGTTGTCAGAACAAAAAAGATGTTCTAGCCACATTTAGATATTTTATCTTATCTGTTCTGACTCCAAAGACACGGTCAATCCTACAAAATGTGGCTGCCCCTTCGCACTGAAGATGGCCGCTTGCCAGCTGTTGTTGGAGATCACCACTTTCCTGCGAGAGACCTTCCCCTGCTTACCACGACCGCGCACCGAACCGCTTGTGGTCAGTAGTGAAATCAAAATCCAAAAAGGTAAATCTGATGTGAATAGCGATGAGAATTTGATTTCTACTTATTTTGTCTGCAGGATCTGGACAGCTGCCGCCTGCGTCTGGACCCAGAGCTCGGCCGCCATCGCTACGAGAGGAAGATCAGCTTTGCGGGCATCCTCGACGACGAAGACGGGCACGATTCCCTCAACAGCAGCAGCCACACTCTGAAGTCTGACACCACCTGTGATGATAAGAAGACCCAGGAGGCTCAGGGTGAGACTCGGTGTCATCCAGATTGGTTAATGCAGCTGATTACCGCTCCGTATTTACTCACTGCTCATTGTTGATTGTAGACAATCTCTCCCCACTCCCCTGCTCTCCAGCACCAGTGCGGAAGATTCGTATCGGAGGCTCGCGCCTGCTTCAGATCAAAGGAGCCCGCAGTTTTCGTGTGAAGAAGGTTGGCTCGCTGTCTTCGATACGCAGAGCGGGGAGTCTGAAGAGCACCAAGCTGTCTCGGCAGGACTCTGAGTCTGAGAACGAAGAAGGCCTGCTGTCACAAACGCAGAGCAGGGACACAGTTACTGACATCGGTATGATGTAACTGAAACTCCTGGAAAGAACATAATTTCATTTATTATTGTGTAATATTCAAAGGAAATGACAGTACACTGTAAAAAATAAAAACTGTAAAACACAGTTACAGGTTTTTCATGTTATTTTACATCAGACCTGCCAATTAACAGTCTATTTTTTCTCATATCATTGGTATTTCATGTACTTTAAAATAACAGGAAAATTCTGTAAAATATATAGGGAAAAATGTGTTAAGTTAAAGACTTATTTACAGTGTATGTTAACATTAGTTTACTTTTGCAGTATTGTTTTTGCCAGATCCTGTTAGAGAGTGAAAAGAACACTATAAGTATTCTGCACAGGGAAAAGAAACTGTTCTCCATCGTGAAATAAGTGGACAATTATCAGCGTCCTGTATGGGGTTGTTTGTTCTTGTTTAACATTGCAGGCAGTCCCTTCAGCACCAGTGAACCCAGCATCGAGCCAGAAGGTCAGAGCTCAGGAGGGACGGAGGACAACTACCACCGCAACATGTCCTGGCTTCACGTAAGTCTGTCGGTACATGCGGGGAGCAAAACTGTGTGTACTTTCCCGCATACTGACCTCCTCTCTGCTCTCTCTCGGCACAGATTATGATCCTGCTGTGCAACCAGCAGAGTTTCATCTGTACCCACATAGACTTCTGCCACCCACGCTGCTACCAACACCACAGCCGCTCCTGCGCCCGTCTGGTCCGTGCCATCAAGCTCGTGTACGGGGAGACGGTGGACAGCCTGAGGGAGGACAGCGCCTCCTCTGGTAACATCGGAGGACGTGTGAAGAAAAACAAAGAGGTGGAATTGACAGGCTGTTTTTCTGGATGAATAACCTAAATATGTGTGTTTTGTTAGTTTTTTTAAATCTTCGCCACTTTCTAAAGTACTATTTCCCATCAGTGTTCAGACAAGTCTTGTCTGAGGACCCCGTCCATGAAGAGAAGACCCACTGACTCCAACACAGAAGGGAAGAAGGATACAGGCATGCTCAAGTACATCCGCAATCAGGTGAATTTCTGTTTTTCTTGTTATTTTTATAATTATTACATCCTACCTGATGTGCACCACATTCTCAGACTGGAATCAGAGCTGCCCGTGCTGTCAATAAAGGAGACCGCACCCCAGCTTTAAGCTTTAACCAGCATTGAGATTAATGAATTTTAAAAAGAAAAAACAGTTGTGCAGAAAGAAGCTACTCATACAGACAATCATTTTTGGATCAGGCTGCAAGTGTGGTTGATCATGCAAAGTTGTTTATTTAACATGGGAGTCTGGCCATTAGAGGAACGTCTGCCTGTCTGGCCTAGAGATTTCTATTAATGATTTTACAAAGGTGTAATATCTGTTCAAGCAACTGCTTTCTAAAGCAAATATCACATCAGCCAATCATATGGCAGCAATTCAAATCATTTAGTTCTGTAGTTGTGGTGAAGACAACCTACTGAAGTTAAAACAAAGCATCAGAGTTGAGGTGAAAAGTGATTTAAGTGACTTTGAATGTGACACAGTGGTTGGTCTGAGTATTTCGGAAACTGCTGCCAAAATACATTTTGCAGAATTGTAAAATATACTACAAGTGGCACAGAAATTGCCTGCGAGCTATACAGAAGCACCAGCAGAAGACCACACCGGGTGCCATTCCTGTGAAATAAGAACAGGAAAACCGAGGCTATAATTCATAAAAGCTACCAAGATTTGGGCAATAGAAGACTGGAAAAAATGTTGACAGGTCCAGTGAGTCTTGATTTTTCATGCAACGTTCAGATGGTAGGATCAGAACATGGCAAAAACAGCATGATGGCTAAACTGTTGTTTTAACAGTTTATCAGAGGTTTAACAGATGTTATGTGTCAAAATCTGTGAGAAATGCTTCCAGCATGAACTACTGATGCAGTTCTGAAAGCAAAAAATGGGTCCAAAAAAAGGAAATAAAAGTTTTCTAATTGTGTTGTAGCTCTGAAAAGGACTGCTTGCACCTTTTTCAGTTTGTATACACTGTGGGTGATGTTAAGTCAAAGATAAAGTGTCTTATTACTACCTTAGCAAAGAGATTATAGATCATTTTGCATCTTTGCACTTTCATCTTAAATGTTTGTTTTCTCATAGGTGATGAGTTTGTCACCAGCTCCTCTTTCACTGCTGATCAAAGCAGCTCCTATCTTGACTGACGACATGTACGGAGACATCCAGCCCGCAGCCTGGGAACTCCTACTCAGTGTGGATGAACATATGGCAGCCGCTGCTGGTGAGCTCATCACTGAGCTGTGGTGGTCCCCTCTTAGGTCGCTGTGCCCTTCAAGGTTCACGAACGCTTTTTGCCCTCAACCATGTTTCACCTTTTTCTTTCCTGCCCTTTTTATCTGCCCCCTTCCAGCTGCCTTGTTTCTCCTGTGCGCCGTAAAGGTCCCTGATGCAGTGACCGAAATGATGATGGCAGAGTTCCAGCACCCTGAGGCCTGCCAGCGCATTAACTCCATCCTGAAGTTTTACACTCTGTGGCGTTTTCGCTACCAAGTGTGGCCTCGCATGGAGGAAGGAGCCCAGCAGATCTTTAAGGTAGTTCAGTTGAGTTCAGTTTTATTTATAAAGCACCAAATCACTAAAACCTCAAGACCCTTTATATTTTTAAGGTAATATCCCAATCAACCAATGTCCAAGAAGATCTCCCTTTAAAGAGGAAAAAACCTCCAGCCGAGCCAGGCTCAGGGAGAGGACCGTCTTCTGTGACTGGTTGGGGGTGAGGGGACAAAGACAGGATAAAAGACATGATGTGAAAGAAAGACAGAGATTATAGTATATATAAGAGAAATGTGCTCTCTCATTCTAGTCCCTGTCAGTACTGTTGCTGCAATGTTTTAGATATACTGAAGACTTTTCAGGGAGTTTTTAGGACATCCTGTTTATAATGAATTACAGTAGTCCAAGTTTTTCAGCATCACCGTGAGACAGGATGTTAAGATGATGTGCAAATATAAGAAAGCAGTCATGTGTGTTTATTTAAAATGTGCACTGAAGAACATATCCACATATCCATATAAACAACTCCAAGGTAAAGCCACGGTAAAGCCATCCAGAGTAAACATTTGGTTAGATACCACATTTCTAATATTTTCAGGGCTGAGTACAGTAACCTCCGTTTTAGCTAACTTTAGAAGCAGAGGATTAAAAGTCTTTAAGACATTCTCGTAGTTTAGCTAACTATGGATGTGTTATCTGGATTCATTGATAGGAAGTTTGGTGTCATCTGCATAGCAATGAAAATGTATGTTATGCCTTCTGATGATACTCCCTAAGGGAAGCATGTATACTGTAAACAGAAGTGGTCCTAGCACAGAACCCTGTGGAACCCCATACTTAACCTTAATGTGACGAGGACTCTCCATTTACATGAACAAATTGGAATAGATTGTTTGCATTTTTAGCGTCCCCAAAAGAGAGAGCGCAGAAGGGCATTCGCTGTGTTTACTAAATTTGGTGTACTTCTCTTTCAGATCCCTCCACCCAGCATTAACTTCACTCTCCCTTCTCCAATACTGGGCATGCCCTGTGTCCCCATATTTGACCCTCCCTGGGTGCCCCAGAACACTGGCAGCGTCCAGGATCCAATCAACGAAGACCAGTCTGTAAGTTTGAGCCCTATTCTAAAAGGCACAAATCTACTTGTATTACTATCAGAAACAGCTTTTAGAGTTTATCTTTTTAATTAAAGTGACAGAGAAGGTTTTTTAAACACCACTGGAGTTCAGTGAGAGAGTTTTCCTAAGCTTGTGAACCCTGTAAAAATAGGCCAGTTTATAATTTAACTATTTTTTTAATCCCCCTTAACTCCACAATCCACCAAAAAACAAAAGACGATATGCACACTCTTACTGCTTTGAATATTACATTTGTTATTGCTGCAAGTTTAATGTGGAAAACTGCACCAAGAAATCTGCAAATATAAGAAAAATGTGTGAACACAGATTTCTTGGTGCCTCCTTTTAATTTCTTGTCTTTTTTAAATATTTTTTTTCATAAAGCATGAATAGAAATATGAGATTTTAATGAGCGAGCACATGTTCTATAATTTAATCGACTGTCTTTGTTTTTAGTACCCCACATTAATTCAGTCAGTCCATGCCATAGTAAGTTGGTATTTCTGTCCGGGTGTTTGTGCTGCTGATGCATCTTGTTACCTCAGACCATTAAAGACAGAAGGGGAAGCGACCTTTTAGGTTTTTCATCACGGACCAGAAGCTGGGGGGCGGTTTCATGGGTCATCTTGGATAGTTGCATCTTGATCAGGGACACACACAATCCACATATTTAAAAAGAGTCTTCCGGCACATGCTTTGATTGTTAAGGAGAAAATAACAGCATGCATCGGGCATACAGACATGTTGTGTGTGTCGTGCTGTTGATGCATGGTCATTGGATGAGAATGACTTTGCTGTGTTTGTTTTTCATATCATGGCTGTTTTAGATTTGTTTGTGCGAATGCTGTGAGGCAATTACTGTGCACAAGATACAGTAAATTCTCCATCTTCCAGTCTGAACACATTTATTGTTTATCGTGATTGAAATTGCTCCTATTCTATACGTCTACACTGCAGCGTGCTTCATAATGCTCAGGACGGCATTTTAGAGCATGAGATCGGTGTGCTGGAGGAGAGTTACTGTATTAATGTGTTGTCCAGTTGCTCCTCAGAAGCCTATTGTAGCTGTGCACACACATTCCTGAAAGATTTAAAGTGCTAATTTGTGCATTCCCCCCGCCCCCTGCCCCCGATTCTGAACCTCCTACAATTTCTACACCCGCTGCTCTACCTCTGTGCTATTTGATCCTCGCCCCCTCCTTTTTAGAAATCCTTCTCTGCGCGGGCGGTGTCGCGCTCCCACCAGCGAGCCGAGCACATCCTCAAGAACCTGCAGCAGGAGGAGGAGAAGCGGCGTCTGGGCCGCGAGGCCAGCATCATCACAGCCATCCCTGTGGCTCAGGAGGCCTGCTACGAACCCACATGCAGCCCTCCACCCGAGCAAGAGGAGGAAGGTGGGGCCGCCAGGCGTATGAGCACTTGTGTTTTATACAAGAAAAACCTCAAGAGGTGGAAAACAGCGAGCACAGAAGTTCCTCCAGTGGCCAAATGAGAGTTATTTCAAAACAGAGTCGACCCTCTTGTGTTAACAGCATTAAAAAGCTTTCTGCAGACTGGTGCAAAAACTGTGTTAGCCTTTTGGATTGATTATCCCTTTTCTCCATCTTAAAAACTGGTTGGCAATGTGACGTCATGTGCACATTACTCAAGAAATGCAAAGAAATGTGAAATCGAATTCAAAGAAGGTGCTGCACCTAAAACCTCCTTGTGAATGCTTTGGTTGCCACAGTTGCCTGTAGTTTTTGATGTTTCTCTGCAAGTACTTGTTAACTACTAGCTGAGCAGTAGTACAACGAATGACGAATGAATAAAGTTTGCCTTCAAAGTAAAAGCTGTACCTCAGTACTACAACCAACATGTTTTAAAGGGCACAACTTTTGCTTTGAAGGCGAACAGCCTCCATTCCAGGTTTCATTGGACTTTTCAGTTTTACTACAGCTCAGAAAGCACAGTCTATAAAAGATTGTTATTCTGCAGCAATATGTTAGCGACCATATTAATCACAAGGAAGTCTTTGTATTTCGGTTTGCAACTGCGTATTTTTTCCTAGCAACCAGTGGTTGCCAGTGGGGTTGCTCTCTGGTAAGTAGGCCTGTGTGACTCAAGGTTAAGCAATTGTTTTCCCAGCATTTTCTGGTTGGAGACCAACCTCTAGATCATGTGTCTGCAAAACCCACGTCACCGCTATCACTGACTGGCGGCCTTCAGACAGAATGCAGGTTTAAGGCACTTCTGCACTGGTGTTATTGTTCTGACCCAGAAGCTGAGTTGATGATTTGTACTGTCTATGGTTAACTGACAGGTGTCCAATATAGGTAGATGGCAGCTGCTAGGTCTCGTCCACTACTTCAAGCCATTAGACTAAACCTCTTTATGATTTGTGTGCTTTCAGTGCCTTTTAGAGCATTTTTAATGGATTATCTGAGTAATACTTCAGCTTTCTACAGACCATCCTGATGGTTTGTGCTTCAGTTTTGATGAGTGAAATACTGAGTTGACATAGTGCACCCATACAGTTTAGGGATGCAGCTGATAAGTTAGCACTCCAAGAAAAACAATATGGCTATAACACACTAACATTTAAGCTCCAAAACCAGTGGGTAATGTAATGATGGCCACATCCACGTTTTCCACCTTTTATACAGCCGTAATAGTTTTGAAAGCCAGAAGTGACCATATTTACGGTAGATGAAAGGGGGAGTGCTAACATGAGCACGCTTGGTTACTAAGCTACATTCGTAAAGATGATTCGTAAAGTCAAAACTGTGTTTTTACGAAGGGTAAAACTATTCTCAGAGCCCAAAAGCATTTTTTGCACAATACTGTAAACATGCTTTTTAATGCTTTAAGTATGTAAAGTGTAGATGTTAAACATGGGTGCTTATAGTGGTTGACTCACACTTGGACTCAGCCTCATGTGCTCATTAGAGGAACTGCAGACTTTGGCACTTGCTTGCTGGATTCATATTTCAGCCCTGCAGGTTGCCACATTAGCACACAGTGTTTTGACTCTGCATAGCTCTTTACCCTGATAGCATGTTGTTTTTCCCCCTGTACCTCTACTGGTTATGTTTGGCATTGATCCCGCCAGCAGAAGAAGTGGTGAACCTGGCATCACGACGTCTGTCTGTCAGCCCATCCTGCGCCTCCAGCAACTCCCACAGGAACTACTCTTTCCGCCGGGGCTCTGTATGGTCTGTCCGCTCGCTGGCCAGTGCTGAAGGTAGAAAAATGTCAGAAACAAATGAATTTAAACTTTTTATATAAAACTTGCTCTTTACAAATTCTTTTTTTTTGCCAGATGAAGAAAACACAACAGAACACACACCCACTCACCACATGCTACAGCCACCTCAAGCTGTCTTCCCAGCATGCATCTGTGCTGCCGTCCTACCAATAGTGCACCTCATGGAAGACGGTGAAGTTAGAGAGGATGGCGTGGCTGGTAGCTGTCACTACACAAAAAAATGAATTTGCATCAAAACTTTTGTGATTTTTTTTTTGGTTATTTATGCAAAAATGTTTCCTCAGTGAGTGCTGTTGCCCAGCAAATCCTCTGGAACTGCCTCATTGAAGATCCAGCTCTCGTTCTCCGCCACTTCCTGGAAAAGCTGACAGTTAGCAACAGACAGGTAGGCAAACACCTGCGGACAGATGTGGGGAAAAGACTCGCAATGAGTTTTTTATTGTTTGTCCATTTGTTTGGTTTTTGCACCAGGACGAGCTGATGTACATGCTTAGGAAGCTCCTGCTCAACATTGGAGATCTGCCAGCCCAGACCTCTCACATCCTTTTTAACTACCTGGTGGGTCACCAGCTACCTTCACCTGTACCTTTATATTTGTCATCAGTTCTGTTTATTCTCCTCATCATCATTTCTCCTCCTTTAAGGTGGGCCTGATCATGTATTTTGTGCGGACTCCCTGTGAATGGGGCATGGACGCCATCTCGGCCACGCTGACCTTCCTCTGGGAGGTGGTCGGCTACGTGGAGGGGCTCTTCTTTAAAGACCTGAAGCAGACCATGAAGAAAGAGCAGTGTGAGGTCAAACTGCTGGTCACAGCATCGATGCCAGGTGAGTGCTAAATACTGCAGACATAAGTAATGCTTGTATTGTAAAACCATTCTCCACCAGAATCCACCAGTTAGCTCTGACACTCCAGTTTGTGGAGCACTTTATAAACGATGACTTTGTGGTGCAGAGGGTGTTTGATGCACAGGTGCCACCTCTGTATTTGATCTTTGTTTAGACCGTCCACCGATCTGGCAAAACAGACCAAGGTAGGACCGATAGACCAGCTGAGATACCCACAATGTCTGATCAGCACCGTGTTATTTAATATTAAGTTGCATTTTTACTGGGGTGGCCACATAGTGAAGTGGGTTCTTGGCAAATGAGAGGCTGCAGGTTCAGCACCAGCCGGAGACACCAATTCACTTTGAGGTTGTATTTGGCAAAAAATCTGCAAAAACAAAACATGGAGAGTTACCCGCTGTGGTGATGCCCCCACTGATAAGGGAACAGCCAAATGTAGCAAGGTGTAGTTTAACCCCGGTAATATCAGGATGTGTCTTTCTTTTCCCAAGCACACCCAACCATTTTACAAGACAACAGGTTACTAAACACACATCACAACCATGTTTTTTTTAACAAAAGGGACATTATGAACCCTGATATCCATCATTAGATTCCTTTTTTCTCACTTCTAGTCTGAAGTGGTTCATTCACTGAGATAAGGTAGTCAACTTGAGCATTTCCACAGCTATATACCAACAGCATTTCTAAATCAAAACAAAGATAAAAGGTAAAAGTATAAAAAGCATTGTTTCCTAAGACAAAAAGCAAACTTCTGTTTCTGGTCTCTAGCTTTATTCAAACAAGTCTCATACTGACAGAGAAAGACCCTTATGGTCACTCTTTTTGTTGTTGTTTTAATTTTAATGTTCAATAACAGAAATCGATTGAGGGCGATTGTGGCTCAAGAGTTGGGAGTTCGCCTTGTAATCGGAAGGTTGCCGGTTCGAGCCCTGGCTTGGACAGTCTCGGTCGTTGTGTCCTTGGGCAAGACACTTCACCCGTTGCCTACTGGTGGTGGTCAGAGGGCCCGGTGGCGCCAGTGTCTGGCAGCCTCGCCTCTGTTAGTGCGCCCCAGGGTGGTTGTGGCTACAATGTAGCTTGCCATCACCAGTGTGTGAATGGGTGAAAAAAAAAAGGGGTGGCACGGTGGTTAGCACTGTTGCCGCACAGCAAGAAGGTCCTGAGTTCAATCCCACCATCAGGCCGGGGTCTTTCTGTGTGGAGTTTGCATGTTCTCCCCGTGTTTGCGTGGGTTCTCTCCGGGTACTCCGGCTTCCTCCCACCGTCCAAAGACATGCAACTTGTGGGGATAGGTTAATTGGATAATCCAAATTGCCACTAGGTGTGAATGTGCGAGTGAATGTGAGTGCGAATGGTTGTCTGTCCCTGTGTGTTGGCCCTGCGACAGACTGGCGACCTGTCCAGGGTGTACCCCGCCTCTCGCCCTATGATAGCTGGGATAGGCTCCAGCTCCCCCCGCGACCCTGAAAAGGATAAGCGGAAGTGAATGGATGGATGGAATAACAGAAATCAACAATATGTCACAAAATGTAAATATTTTCATGCATTTTGTTGCTGCAGGAACCAAAACGCTGGTGGTGCACGGGCAGAATGAATGTGACATCCCAACCCAGCTACCAGTCCACGAAGACACTCAGTTTGAAGCCCTGCTAAAGGTAAAAACTCTCATCTCAGTCAATCACACACACAGTGAGGCAAGACCGAGGAGGCTTATCACTGTAATTAAATTCAAATCATGCTGGGCGAGCGTGTGCTAAATGCATAAAATTTAAAATTGTAATTCAGCGTGAGTAAACTAATCAGCCATCTCCTTTTTCTCCAACCAGGAGTGTCTGGAATTTTTCAACATTCCCGAGGCCAGATCGGCACACTACTTCCTCATGGATAAACGATGGAACCTCATCCATTATTCAAAGGTGGGAACTTTATTTTGAGGGGGTTTTTTGTTCACTGAAAAAAGCAACAACTATTTAAAAGCACTAAATTATCTGAAGTCAAGACCTATTTTCATTAATCATCAATAATAGTTCATATGTATGTTAGTGTTGGTCGGTCTTGCTCTGTGCAGATTAGAAAGGTCAGACCAGTGCTTTTGAGTCACATCTGTTCCACTGTACCTATGGCATTGAATTTAATTTTAAACATAGAGATATTTAGTGTAATTATTTTTCTCTCTATCCTTCAGACATATGTTAGAGACATCTACCCGTTCCGAAGGTCAGTCTCTCCTCAGCTCAACCTGGTCCACATGTTGCCTGAGAAAGGACAGGAGCTCATCCAGAAACAGGTAAGGTTGGAAATGTGAAAATTAAATCAGCCCCTAAACAGCGTCCTGCAACAGGAAAATCATAGTCTGAATTTTTGTTTTCAGGTGTTTTCCCGTAAACTAGAAGAAGTCGGTCGAGTCCTCTTCCTCATCTCCCTCACACAACACATGCCAGCTGTGCACAAGCAGTCCCACGTCTCCCTGCTGCAGGAGGACCTGCTTCGCCTGCCCTCCTTCCCCCGCACCGCCATCGATGCAGAGTTCTCCCTCTTTAATGAGCCTCAAGGTGAGAAAAAGACTAACAGCTTAATAAACTTGAGTATAGCTCCTACTGTTTATTTTAGGATAATGAATCCTGCTTTGCTCCGCCTTCAAGGAAAAGAGCTGTTTGGCTTGGACACTCTCCACAAGGTGTTGTGGATCAAACTGTTGGAGGAAATGTTTCTGGGCATGCCCAGTGAGTACCCGTGGGGCGATGAGATGATGCTGTTCCTTAACGTCTTCAACGGGGCCCTTCTGCTGCACCCCGAGGACAGCTCCCTGCTGAGGCAGTACACGGCGACCGCCATCAACACCGCCGTTCACTTTAACCATCTGTTCTCCCTGAGCGGGTACCAGTGGATGCTGCCAACCATGCTGCAGGTATGCTTACCTGTGCACACTTAACTGAGCCTAGACAGTGAGTGGAGGAAGAGCAGTTGGCTCTGAATTCCAGTTTCGCAGTAATTTACATTTCCCATCCCCTCTCCCTGTTCTGCTGTGACAGGTCTATGCAGACTACGAGAGCAACCCTCTTCTGAGGCAGGGCATTGAGTTTTGCTGCCGGCAGTTTTACATCCTCCATCGAAAACCCTTTATCCTGCAGCTGTTTGCCAGCGTTGCTCCGCTGCTCGAGTTCACAGTAAGACTTTCGGACTCATTCAAATGAATCTGCAGTCGGTCAGCACCACTGCAAGTTCTTCGTCTCCTTTGATGCATTTCTCTCTTCTTATCCATCTCAGACCAGCACCAGTACCGGTCTTTCTAAAGGAGTTTCGGCCCAGTGTCTGTTCGACCTGCTGGTCTCTCTAGAAGGTGAAACCCAGGATGCCCTGGATGCTCTGGAGCTGGTAAAAGCTGAGAAGCCTCTACGCTCTCTGGGTAAACTGTCAATTTTACTGGCTCCAGACAAAGCTGCCGTAGGTATCAACATATGGATTTAGTCGGAGAGTAGAGACTTGGTAAAGAAGTCCAGAAACTCAGACTGATGCCCAAATTCATTAAACCTCTTATATCAAATAAGTCTGTAAAGGAAGCCTCATAAATTCAACTGTTAGTCTAACATTACTGTTGGACTAGTTTAACTGTACTCTGTATATGTCACAGATTTCTGTTATGGTAATGAGGACCTGACCTTTTCTATCAGCGAGGCCATCAAGCTGTGCGTCACTGTGGTTGCATATGCCCCCGAATCCTTCAGGAGGTATCAATAAAAACATCGAGGCGTCTTTCTCTGTCAGTTGCTTTCTGTCCTCATACTATCCATGCTTCCCTCTCCAGTCTCCAGATGCTGATGGTGCTGGAGGCCTTGGTTCCCTGCTACCTCCAGAAACTGAAGAGCAACACAGTTACGATGGAGTCTGCTTCGGCTGCCAGAGATGAGATTGCGGCCATCGCTGCCCTAGCTACGTCTCTGCAGGCCCTGCTCTACAGCTCTGAAACCCTCACAAGGTTTGTCTCTTACCAATGCAGACACAACTGAGTCTAGATTTGCTTTTAGCTCCTCTTAGTTGTTGTCATCTGATCGTCCACAGGCCCATGACGGCTCCCCAGATATCTCGCTGTGATCAGGGCCACAAGGGCGGCACTACAGCTAACCACGCCATGTCCGGAGGGGTCAACACCAGGTCAGAACTTTAACTCTCACCTGTCTCAGAATAGATGACTATAGTGCAGTTTTGGAGTTTGAAAACCAAGACTGAGGAGATCTTTGTATTGTCAGGGACAATCTTCACCTGCTGGAGGAGGGCCAGGGCATGCCAAGGGAAGAGCTGGACGAGCGCATTGCCAGGGAGGAGTTCCGCCGTCCACGGGAGTCCCTGTTGAACATCTGCACCGAGTTTTACAAACACTGCGGGCCACGGCTCAAAATCCTGCAGAACGTTGCAGGCGAGCCGCGGGTCACAGCTCTGGAGCTACTGGACATCAAGTCCCACATGAGGTGTGCGATGAAATAGCAGCTGATTTTAGTTACAGTGTGTAAATTTGTCAAATTATTTAGTTTTCTTACCCATTGAGATTCAAGTGCATAACCCTAACTACAGTGGCTGCTATAGGACAAACATGTTTCAGTCAGCCAAGAGAGATGAAATACAAACAGTTCAGTATCTGTGTTTCCACTAATGTTTGGATCAAATTCAAATCCACCCTGGAATTTTTCCCTGTCACTCCACTGTTTACCTCAGCTGTCAATGCAGACTGAGAAGCATCCAGCTTCATTTACTCTGAAGGAGGCTGTAAAACTTTGTGAAGGGAGTCCAAAATGAGTCGATGAGTCAGTGAAGCTCACTTCTGACCAGCAGTACTGAGGTGACTTGTTAAGGATATGCTAAACTGTTATCCTCTATCAGTGAAACTTTCTTTGACGTGTATCTAACACTGTTGGTTGAAATGTATTAGATAAACTCTCATTCAGTGTGAGAATGTAATCAAACTATTTGTCAGAGGGAACATGGGATTTTCAGCCTAAGGGTTAGGGGTTAGGGTTTCAGCTTGAGGTGAGGAGAAAGAAGATGAGATTTTATTCAGATGACTGTGACATTATTGTCTCGTTGCTTCATGCTTTTATTACATTATTGATATGAGACTGCTTCAGCTCGCTGGAAGATGTAATTACAAACTATTCTAGATATATTTAGGAGTACAGAATGCTTTTTGGTGAAAAACATAAAAATGACTAACTGTAACTTGAAGTATTTGCTGGGCATCAGCAGATTTAGTCAGAAAGTTATGACTCATTAATTCTCACCACCTACATTCTTTCACACATCCAGCACTTGATGGATAACACACAGGCTTTATTTTGTTGTGTTTAAATTACAAAATGCTTTTAGCATTTCTTATGAGTCTTATTCTGAGATTAAAGTAAGAATTCTAAGGAAAAATTATTCTGATGAAAAAGTCAGAATTCTGAGGTTAAAGGCAGAATTCTGAGAAAAGTCAGAATTCTGAGGGGAAAAAGTCAGATTTCTGAGGTAAAAGTCAGAATTAAAGTGAGATTAAAGTCAGAATTCTGAGGTTAAAGTCAGAATTAAAGTGAGATTAAAGTCAGAATTCCGAGGTTCAAGTCAGAATTCCGAGGTTCAAGTCAGAATTCCGAGGTTAAAGTCAGAATTAAAGTGAGATTAAAGTCAGAATTCTGAGGTTAAAGTCAGAATTTTGAGAAAAGTCAGAATTCTGAGAAAAAAGTCAGATTTCTGAGGTTAAAGTCAGGATTAAACTGAGATTAAAGTCAGAATTCTGAGGTTAAAGTCAGAATTCTGAGGTTAAAGTCAGAATTCTGAGGTTAAAGTCAGAATTCCGAGGTTAAAGTCAGAGTTAAAGTGAGATTAAAGTCAGAATTCCGAGGTTAAAGTCAGAATTAAAGTGAGATTAAAGTCAGATTTCTGAGGTTAAAGTCAGAATTCTGATAAAAGCCAGAATTCTGAGAAAAGCCAGAATTCTGAGAAAAGTCAGAATTCTGAGGGGGGAAAAGTCAGATTTCTGAGGTTAAAGTCAGAATTCTGAGAAAAGTCAGAATTCTGAGAAAAAAGTCAGATTTCTGAGGTTAAAGTCAGGATTAAACTGAGGTTAAAGTCAGAATTCCGAGGTTAAAGTCAGAGTTAAAGTGAGATTAAAGTCAGAATTCCGAGGTTAAAGTCAGAATTAAAGTGAGATTAAAGTCAGATTTCTGAGGTTAAAGTCAGAATTCTGATAAAAGCCAGAATTCTGAGAAAAGCCAGAATTCTGAGAAAAGTCAGAATTCTGAGGGGGAAAAGTCAGATTTCTGAGGTTAAAGTCAGAATTCTGAGAAAAGTCAGAATTCTGAGAAAAAAGTCAGATTTCTGAGGTTAAAGTCAGAATTAAAGTGAGGTTAAAGTCAGAATTCCAAGGTTAAAGTCAGAATTCTGAGAAAAGTCAGAATTCTGAGGGAAAAAAGTCAGATTTCTGAGGTTAAAGTCAGAATGTGAGATTAAAGTCAGAATTCCGAGGTTAAAGTCAGAATTAAAGTGAGATTAAAGTCAGAATTCTGAGGTTAAAGTCAGAATTAAAGTGAGATTAAAGTCAGAATTCTGAGGTTAAAGTCAGAATTAAAGTGAGATTAAAGTCAGAATTCTGAGGTTCAAGTCAGAATTCTGAGGTTAAAGTCAGAATTAAAGTGAGATCAAAGTCAGAATTCTGAGGTTAAAGTCAGATTTCTGAGGTTAAAGTCAGAATTAAAGTGAGGTTAAAGTCAGAATTCCGAGGTTAAAGTCAGAATTCTGAGAAAAAAAGTCAGAATTCCGAGGTTAAAGTCAGAATTAAAGTGAGATTAAAGTCAGAATTCTGAGGTTAAAGTCAGAATTAAAGTGAGATTAAAGTCAGAATTCCGAGGTTAAAGTCAGAATTAAAGTGAGATTAAAGTCAGATTTCTGAGGTTAAAGTCAGAATTCTGATAAAAGCCAGAATTCTGAGAAAAGCCAGAATTCTGAGAAAAGTCAGAATTCTGAGGGGGGAAAAGTCAGATTTCTGAGGTTAAAGTCAGAATTCTGAGAAAAGTCAGAATTCTGAGAAAAAAGTCAGATTTCTGAGGTTAAAGTCAGAATTAAAGTGAGGTTAAAGTCAGAATTCCAAGGTTAAAGTCAGAATTCTGAGAAAAGTCAGAATTCTGAGGGAAAAAAGTCAGATTTCTGAGGTTAAAGTCAGAATTAAAGTGAGATTAAAGTCAGAATTCCGAGGTTAAAGTCAGAATTAAAGTGAGATTAAAGTCAGAATTCTGAGGTTAAAGTCAGAATTAAAGTGAGATTAAAGTCAGAATTCTGAGGTTAAAGTCAGAATTCTGAGGTTAAAGTCAGAATTCTGAGGTTAAAGTCAGAATTCCGAGGTTAAAGTCAGAATTAAAGTGATATTAAAGTCAGAATTCTGATAAAAGTCAGAAATCTGAGGTTAAAGTCAGAATTCCGAGGTTAAAGTCAGAATTAAAGTGAGATTAAAGTCAGAATTCTGAGGTTAAAGTCAGAATTCTGAGAAAAAAGTCAGAATTCCGAGGTTAAAATCAGAATTAAAGTGATATTAAAGTCAGAATTCTGAGAAAAGTCAGAATTCTGAGAAAAAAGTCAGAATTCTGAGAAAAAAGTCAGAATTCTGAGGTTAAAGTCAGAATTCCGAGGTTAAAGTCAGAATTCCGAGGTTAAAGTCAGAATTCCGAGGTTAAAGTCAGAATTCTGAGGTTAAAGTCAGAATTCCGAGGTTAAAGTCAGAATTCAAGTGAGATTAAAGTCAGAATTCTGATAAAAGTCAGAATTCTGAGGTTAAAGTCAGAATTCCGAGGTTAAAGTCAGAATTAAAGTGAGATTAAAGTCAGAATTCTGAGGTTAAAGTCAGAATTCCGAGGTTAAAGTCAGAATTAAAGTGATATTAAAGTCAGAATTCTGAGAAAAAAGTCAGAATTCTGAGAAAAAAGTCAGATTTCTGAGGTTAAAGTCAGAATTCTGAGGTTAAAGTCAGAATTCTGAGGTTAAAGTCAGAATTCCGAGGTTAAAGTCAGAGTTAAAGTGAGATTAAAGTCAGAATTCTGAGGTTAAAGTCAGAATTAAAGTGAGATTAAAGTCAGAATTCTGAGGTTAAAGTCAGAATTAAAGTGAGATTAAAGTCAGAATTCTGAGAAAAGTCAGAAATCTGAGGTTAAAGTCAGAATTCCGAGGTTAAAGTCAGAATTAAAGTGAGATTAAAGTCAGAATTCTGAGGTTAAAGTCAGAATTCTGAGGTTAAAGTCAGAATTCAAGTGAGATTAAAGTCAGAATTCTGATAAAAGTCAGAAATCTGAGGTTAAAGTCAGAATTCCGAGGTTAAAGTCAGAATTAAAGTGAGATTAAAGTCAGAATTCTGAGGTTAAAGTCAGAATTCCGAGGTTAAAGTCAGAATTAAAGAAAAAAGTCAGAATTCTGAGAAAAAAGTCAGATTTCTGAGGTTAAAGTCAGAATTCTGAGGTTAAAGTCAGAATTCTGAGGTTAAAGTCAGAATTCCGAGGTTAAAGTCAGAGTTAAAGTGAGATTAAAGTCAGAATTCTGAGGTTAAAGTCAGAATTAAAGTGAGATTAAAGTCAGAATTCTGAGAAAAGTCAGAAATCTGAGGTTAAAGTCAGAAATCTGAGGTTAAAGTCAGAATTAAAGTGAGATTAAAGTCAGAATTCTGAGGTTAAAGTCAGAATTCCGAGGTTAAAGTCAGAATTAAAGTGAGATTAAAGTCAGAATTCTGAGGTTAAAGTCAGAATTCTGAGGTTAAAGTCAGAATTAAAGTGAGATTAAAGTCAGAATTCTGAGGTTAAAGTCAGAATTAAAGTGAGATTAAAGTCAGAATTCTGAGAAAAGTCAGAAATCTGAGGTTAAAGTCAGAATTCCGAGGTTAAAGTCAGAATTAAAGTGAGATTAAAGTCAGAATTCTGAGGTTAAAGTCAGAATTCCGAGGTTAAAGTCAGAATTAAAGTGAGGTTAAAGTCAGAATTCTGAGGTTAAAGTCAGAATTCTGAGGTTAAAGTCAGAATTAAAGTGAGATTAAAGTCAGAATTCCGAGGTTCAAGTCAGAATTAAAGTGAGATTAAAGTCAGAATTCTGAGGTTAAAGTCAGAATTCTGAGAAAAAAGTCAGAATTCCGAGGTTAAAATCAGAATTAAAGTGATATTAAAGTCAGAATTCTGAGGTTAAAGTCAGAATTCCGAGGTTAAAGTCAGAATTAAAGTGAGATTAAAGTCAGAATTCTGAGGTTAAAGTCAGAATTCCGAGGTTAAAGTCAGAATTAAAGTGAGGTTAAAGTCAGAATTCTGAGGTTAAAGTCAGAATTCTGAGGTTAAAGTCAGAATTAAAGTGAGATTAAAGTCAGAATTCCGAGGTTCAAGTCAGAATTAAAGTGAGATTAAAGTCAGAAATCTGAGGTTAAAGTCAGAATTCCGAGGTTAAAGTCAGAATTAAAGTGAGATTAAAGTCA